GTAGGGGCCGGGTAGGGGCCGCGTAGGGGCCGCGTAGGGGCCGCTAGGGGGGGGGCGCTAAAAAAAAATTTAGGGCAGGGGCGCAATGCGCGTCGGGCAGCTAAAAAAAAAAAAAATCGTTATGGTGGGCCCTTAGGAAGGAACGGTCCCATGTAGGAACCCGCTCTATACCATGTGAATTAAGAAAACAGGAATGAAATGACTAAGTGAAAGTTGGGTACAAAAAGCAAACCCTAGAAAACTGTACCCCATATGTGCTACCCCACTATAGCCTACAGTAGCTATGTCATATAAATCTGACACATCGATTACCGAGCGCTCAACAGGGTAACAGTCAAGTCGCGATACCCCATTCCCCGCGCCGACGAACTGATCGACCAACTGCGAACAGCACGGGTTTTTTCGAAAATAGATTTACGGGGAGGTTACCATCAGATTAGGGTCGAACCATCGGACTGCGCCAAAACAGCTTTCCGGACTAGGTACGGGTCATTCGAGTACACAGTGATGCCCTTCGGGCTGACCAACGCACCAGCGACATTTCAGATGACCATGAACGAGGCGTTTAGGCCACTTTTAGATAAATGCGTAATAGTTTACCTCGACGACATCCTCGTCTACAGTCGCGACAAGCAGCAACACTTAGCAGATCTGGAAGCAGTGTTTAAGATTTTAGACAAGAATCGGCTACTAACCAAGGGTTCCAAGTGCGAGTTTCTTCAGGACAGGCTAGAGTTTTTGGGGCACGTTATTTCGTAGGCTGGGGTTGAAATTGACCCGAAGAAGTTAGACACGGTCAAAGCCTGGCACCCGCCGACGAATATTGCGGAACTACAGAGCTTTTTGGGGTTCGTCAATTACGTGCGTCGGTTCGTCCCCGTCATGGCACGGTTAACAGCGCCGCTTACGAACTTGTTACGGAAAGGGGTCGCTTTTACGTGGGGGGAGAAAGAGCATGTTGCCTCCTCTGCCCTGAAAAATGTTCTCTGTTCACCGCCCGTCCTGCGCATCGCCGACCCACACCGCCCATTCGAAGTAGTTACCGACGCAAGCGACATCGCCATCAGAGCCGTACTGCTACAGGACTTCGGCAACGGCCTACAGCCCATCGCATTCGAGTCACGAAAACTGCATTCGCCCGAGAAAAATTACCCGATACACGACCGCAAAATGCTTGCGATCGTGCACGCGTTCAAAGTGTGGCGCTGTTACTTGACCGGCGCAGACGTGACAGGACGGACAGACCATAAATCACTACAGTACCTCCGTGCACAGCCCCACCTCAACCCACGACATATTCGTTGGCTCGATTTTCTCGAGTTCAATTTTCACTACACGGTCACCTACAAAAAGGGAGCCTCGAACATCGCCGACGCACTGACCCGCCCCACTGCAAAGATCCATGCAATACTACTCGCCCAGACCAGCCCCCTACTAACAGGCCTATTTACCCACGGGTACCAAACGGATCCATTCTTCACAGGAGGAAATTCGCAGCAGTTCGCAGCAGCAAAGGGAGTCTATTACGTAAAAGCCGGGACCGACCGCATCTGGGTGCCCGGGTATACACTACGACGGGAATTACTGTTACAGGAGGCACACGACGGAGTTACCTCGGGGCATTTCGGGGTAGAGAAAACACGGCAGCAACTGCAGCGGTATTATTACTGGCCCGAGATGCTGACCGACGTACAACGACACGTGGCATCGTGTCCCACTTGCCAGCTCATGGAATCATCACGGCAGCGGCCGGCAGGACAGTTGCAGCCGATACCACCCCCAGAGCGTGCTTGGCAGCAGGTGACGATGGACTTCGTCACGGGGTTACCGGCCGGGGCGAGTGGGAACGACGCGATCCTGGTCGTCGTCGATCGACTGACGAAAATGGCACATTTCGCAGCCTGCAAAAAATCGATCACAGCCGAAGAAACAGCTCGACTCTTCATCTCCACCGTCGTTCGACTGCACGGGATACCATCAGCAATCATCAGTGACCGCGACACGAAATTCACCAGCAACTTCTGGCGGAACCTGTGGCAGCAGTTCGGCACGCGACTACTGTTCAGTTCTTCGTACCACCCCGAAACCGACGGACAGACATAACAGACAAATCAGACTATGGAGCAACTCATCCGAGCCACATGCGACGACCCAACCACTTGGGAACAACAGCTGCCACTCATCAAGTTCGCATACAACAACTCACCATCCGCCACGACCCAACAGTCACCGTTTTACCTGAACTACGGACAAGACCCGACAGTCCCCATGACCCCGAATCCCGACAACCCGGTGCGACGAGCATAACAGTTCGCCGAAATTTTACAAGCAGCACGGACCCGGGCAGCAGACGCAATAAAAAATTCAACATCATCGCTAAACGTAACGCCGACCGCCACCACCGACCTATCACTTACCAACCTGACGACCTAGTTTTACTCGACACTCAGAACCTCCGCCTGCCCATCACCCCAAAACTCCGCCCCCGATATTGCGGGCCATTTCGCATAAGCCACATGATTACGCCCGTCACCGCCCACCTCCTCCTCCCCGCTGACTGGTACGTCAGCCCCTCATTCCATGTCTGTCTGCTTCGCCCTTACGTCCCGTCCACAAGCCAACTGCCACGTAATCGCCCAGCTAGCATGACACGACCGCCGACTGAACCAATCATCACACCCGAGAAAATTATGAGCCACAGAGTTCGTGACCCTCGAGGAGCCCGAAGGATCGAGTTCCTGATCCGCTGAAAAGACCGTAGACCCACCGAAGACAACTGGGTTCCCCCGGACAGAATCAAAAAACACCCCGTCCTCACAGAGTATCTGCGCAGCCGAAACTTTAGGGATGTACACGCGCTTTCGTAAGGAGGGGGGGGGGGGGGGGGGGGGGGGGGGGGGTAGTGTAAGGAAAACTCATTTTCCTTAATTCGCGTCCCCGCTCAGCGCGTACACCACTGTAGCACCACAGTCAGCACCGTTACCACTCGCAACCCTCGCATCGACAATCCTCCCGCCACCTTCGCACGTCGCACCCCGACCTCACGGCTCGGCGTGTAACCCGCGCTCCGGGCCTCCGCTTCGACATTTTCCCAAACCTCAGTCCCAGGCCCGTCGCGCGACAACCACAGTCCATTACCGTTACCACTGTAGCTTTGCTATATATTCTTCGTTCATGCCTTTGCTCGTTGTACTCTTGCTTCGGTAGTGCAATTCTCGCTCGATCACTTAATTGCACTCGTAACAAATGGCATAAAAATCAGGAAAACTGGAAAAGGCCACATCCACCAATCTAAGCATCCGCGTTACAGATGGGGGTCGCAGGCCTCAGGAGCTGTTCCAGGCGAGTTGCTGCTGTCCCACCTGAACTAGCGGCTCGCACGTCGCTGGTGGTGGTTTTCTTGGGGGTCACAGGGAGTGCAAGCTGAGAACGTTCGTTTTTGGTTTTTATTCGACCTGACGTGCTGTACGAGAAGAACGTTCGTCAAGGGCTGCATTTCCGTCAAGTTCGGCCAGTGTGGGCCCCCCGTCAAGTGCACACATGCAACGCAACTCCACCAATAATGTGCGCGAAAATCGCTGTACGGCTGATCTTGACAGGGTAGACGTCCCAACCAAACCGAACGGCGTCTCAAGACGGAAAAGAACTCCTTGGAAAGAATGACTCGAGCAGAGGAAACGTCGACAACTCGGCGTGGAACAACGTCAACGTGTACTGTACGCTCCTCTCAACTCAAGCCACCGCCGCCCCAGCGGGAGGTCATGTTCGCGCGTCTGGTCTGGTGGAATCAACAACCTCGATTTCTGGTCCTTGCCCAACCACGAACTTTTGAGTGACAGAGCAGACCAACCAAACCCAGCCCAGTGGCAGCAGGTCGTTCTGCAGGTTTACTGGTTGGGTGAGGGGGAGAGCGAATGAGGAAGGCAGGTTCTGCTGTACAATCGTAGTGCTGTAAATGCTGTACCTTCTGGGCAGACCGCAAGATGATATAAGCAATAGGACATGAAATGCATTGAAACGCGAAGTGTTGTTTGTTACACATTCTCATCGCGGTTATATTGGGGATTGTGGACTTTTTAGAGATCGTGTTTGTTCAGTATTCGCAATCGGATTTACGCGGTGTAGCCCTGCGTTCCTTTCATCTCTGCCCTGCCGCCCTGCCCATGAGCGAGCCATCAAACAGAACGCGACACAACGGAACGTAACATAACGTAACTGCGTGACTGGCTTGTCATCGTCCTAGGCAAACCCCAGACCTTCCCTTCCCATCCCATTGCAGTTCATTCATGCAAGATTCCATCCGTCCGCAAATAATCGTGGTGAACGACGCGCGACCATCCACAACACAACCACACCACACCACACTTTGAGGGATAAACCCAAGTGCCCATCGCTAGCCATCCTTAGTGATCTAGTTGCCGGCCTTTTTCCTCCCAACTTAGCCACCTTCCCCATTTTGCCAGAAGTAGCGCTCTTACTCGCCCAGAACTAGTTCCGTCCACTGATTGTTTTCTTCTCCGCACTCCGCTTTGCTGCTCCTAGCTCCCCCAAGATCGATCGACGCCTTATAGTCGATTACTTCCCGGTCCATCGCAAACGCTCCTACTTTTACTCCGCCTCCAGTGCCACGGAAGCTGCAGGCTACAGTCTGCTTCGAGCTCCTCGGCGCGGCCGTCACGCTGTTGCCCCTATAAATAATTAGTCTTCTTAGCCTGATCGTACAACTCTGTATATAGCGTCACCGATTGTATGACAGCGGCGTCCGTCGCCCCATACTCGAACGCACCGCGCTACAGCAGCAGCACGCTATCGAGGTCATCCATCAAACGAATCATGCTTGGTACGAACCTCTCCGCACCAGCCATGCTAAACTCTAGCATCATCGTTTCTTCTCCCATCAAACCGTTCCCCGCCCCCACTCTCCCGCTCCTGCCCCCGCAATAATAACCCTGCCCCCCCATCCCCCTTTCACCCCTTTCCCCCCCTCCCGCGTCTTCCGCATGACAGCCATTCGCCGATCCTTCTGTCTGCTCCGCCGCGATGCGGCGTGGTCCGACCCGTGCGCCATGCACCCCATGATGGAAATCGGCCAGCCATTCAACGTGAAACACGTGGCGCACGTCACCTTCGACCGCTACCGCGGCTTTCTCGGGCTGCCCGAGGAGTTTCTGAAGCACGTCGAAGGCGTCCCTCCCAGCGCCAGGTACGGCGATATTTTTATTTAACCGAATTTAATAACCTTACCGGCGCAGGTTCCTAGTTTTGCAGCCCCAGCCGTAAAGCGCTATGCACGCAAGAAGCCACAGGCCACGGAACGAATAATAGAAAAGTCGTTCGAATATACCTCCCCTCCACCTCCACCTCCCGCTTACGTTCTACCACCCTCCGCTTACCTCCCGACCCCCTCCGTATGTCCACGTGGCAGCCTGTCCGTGTTCGGCGTGCGACCCGAGTCGATGCAGTGCTCTTTGGACCGCCATGGCAACGCGGTGCCGACTATCTTGATCAAGCTGCAGGAGCGCCTATACGAGCTTCACGGCCTCTCGGTACGCCGCGCCGCTCTTCCCTGCCGCGCCAGTCCTCCCTGTCGTGTCTGTGCCGTGTCCGCTTCCTCTGCTGTCGCTCGCTCGTTTTCCACGACCACCGTGTCGCGTATCGACCAGCATTTTATTGCGCTTAAAGAGCAAAATGAGCAAGCTTTTCTTGCGCTGTTTTAGATCCTTCGCCTCGCCGCCCGTTGCGCTCACAGCCCGGTCCTATGATCCGCGACATCCGTCCTCTCCCCCTCTCACGTCACTCCTCCTTGCTCTCCTCACCTCGCTGTCGCCATCTCCGCCCTTTCCTCATCTCCGCTTCCGCTCTTCTTCCCCGTGTTGCGTGTTCTGCGCGCCAGGCGGAGGGCATTTTCCGCATATCGGGCAAGATGGAGCACGACGAGCGCGTGCGCGAGCAGATGAGCGCGGGGACCGTACCCGCGGACATGGACGTGCACAGCATCGCCGCGCTTATCAAGGTACACACCCCCCTCTCGCCCCTGCGCACCTCGCTCCGCGCGCCTCTCCGCGCGCCTCTCCTCGAATCCCTGCCTCTGCGCAAGTTCCGCTTTGATCCAATTAGATTTCGCGCTTTCGGACTTGAAACTCAGTTGGTTCTCTCTTTTCCTCTACTCAATCTCCTCACCGTGCCCCCTCTCTCCCTGTGCCCCCATTCCCTCCCCGACCCCCGTTTCTCTCCCCTCCTCTAGACATGGTTTCAAGAGCTACCATACGGCCTGCTAGACTCCGTGTCGCCCTCCCGCCTCGCCAACACCCCCAACACGACTGAAGCCTCCGTGGCGCTCGCCGCGAAACTCCCCGCGACGGAGCGCGGACTGCTGGACTGGGCGCTGAACCTGATGGCGGACGTGTGCGCGCACGGGGAGGAGAACCGCATGAGCGCGCGCAACATGGCGGTGGTGTTTGCGCCGAATATGACGCAGGTTAGCGATCCCGCGACTGCGCTGCAGCACGTGGTTCGCGTGATGGATTGGATACGACTGCTGGTGGATCATAGGGTGGCGGAGAGGAGCGCGAAGGAGGGGGAGGGCGCGGAGAAGGGAGTGGGGGGAACGGAGGGTGAAGAAGATGCGGAGAAGCAACAGGAGGAGGAGAAGGAGATTGAGAAGGAAGAAGAGAAGAAAATGGAGAAGGCGGATGAGGAGAAGGAAGAGGTATCTGTTTCTGTTGAGGCAACTTGCACGACTGTTAGCTCGAGAATAGTTGAGTCAAGAGCAGTAGCAGCAGCAGGAGCAGCAGAAGGGGAGGTGCCACAGGAGGTGGTGATGAGAGTGCAAATGGAGAGAGCGGGAGGGGTGGCGGCAGCAGGGGCGGCCGAGGCTGGAAAGGAAGCTGTTGTGGCAGTGAACTTGGCTGGGGAGGGTGGTGGCTTGGGCGGAGAGGAGGGCGAGCAAAGAGAAGAGTCTGGTGTGCATAGCAGCAGCAGGAGCAGGAGCAACAATGGGGGTGGCTGTGCTGTGGCTGCAGAATCAGATGCAGCAGCAGCAGCAGCAGCAGCGGCAGCGGCAGCGGCAGCGGCTGTGGCGTCTTTGAAACGGCCGACAGACATGTGGGTAGATGGAGCGCGGATGGAGGGAGAGGAGGATGAGCACGTGCACAAGCGCACACGCAGCAACGGCAGTGACGGTGGCGGCAGCAAGTAGCAAGAAGACTTTTTGGAGGGTCAAGAGAATGCTGAGGAGAGAGGGGTGCTGCAAGGAATGGTGGTTAGGGTGCACGGCTCGTGAACCTGCCAGTTTTGAGTGTTTCATATGTCTGCTGGAATTCATTTGCAGCAGCAACAACCATTTAATTTGTTTATTGTGTAGCTATGAGCTAGATACGCCATCATTTGAGTTTAGGTTACCATCACCAGTTTAGAGAGGTCAGGTCAGGTGCAGACTGCAGAGCAAGCTGTGACGTGCTTCTTCATTTGCACATGAATGTTCTGGTACTAAGGAATTTCCCTTCCCTGTCCAAAGGCCCTTCCCTGATATTCTGCCTGCATTGGAATGATAAACACTAATTTGATGGTATTTTGAGTCTTGAACCGTGGGTTGTGGTGGTGCCGCCCGCCATGGATGGAAGCTTGCGCTTCGTGCATCGCGGGTGACTGACCTGACCGTGCTGTAAAAGAAGCAAACCATTCACTTTAAGACTAGCCACTAGTACAGCAGCTATGCGCGTGTGTGTGAGTGTGAGAGCCCGCAATCTGTCATGCGTGGGCGTGCCTAGATGTTATGGTAAGCATCACTACCATATAGACACCAGTATGTTGCGGGCAGACAGCATACGAGGAAATAAGGGCCTCACGAGGAAATTGAGCATATAAAAACGTCCTGAGTTTCAAATCGACTTTAAATCACCTGAATTAGTATCTCAGACAGAAGTATCCCGATGCAGATTCTGCAGCCGGCCGACGCGGCGCCCTGCGGTGACGACGCGCGGGGCGCATCGAGCAATCCCCGCGCTTCCTCCCCGTCGTCCGCGCATTCTCCTTCCTCCCGCCGCCTTCCCCCCGTTTCCCCGCCTTTCCCCGCGCCGCTGCGAATCGATGCCTGGTCGCTCGTGCTCTCACTGCTCCCCCCGCGCGGTATCGCCTGCGCTGCGCTCGCGTGCTCCTCCCTCGCCGCTGCCGCCGCCGCCGTCACCGCTGCGCGCACCGCCGATGCGACGGGCGGCAGCGAGCCGCGTGCCGTCCCGTTCCTCGTGCCGCATCACGGTCTTCCCGCGGGGGCGGGGGGAACAGGGGTGGCGGGGGGATCCGGGGGAACGGGAGCGGGGGTCGCACGGGCGCCGTCCGCCCCGCGGTATTCGTACTTCCGCTATTCGCGCGCGAACGTGCGGGTGACGTCAGACGAATCGTCCTTCCCCTCCTTGCTGCTTCATTTCCAGAATCGCAAGATCGTCAACCCACCGGGAACGCCGCCGCATGAAGGCCGCACCGGATCGCTACAGCACGAAGGCGGCGCGGGCCGATCCGCCGGGGCTCTGCCGATCACTCCGCCGATCATTCCGCCGTATCCGTATCCGCAGCCTCCTTGGTGGTGGGGTGTGCTTCCGGATTATCTCAAACGCGCGGACGATTTAAAGCGCGAGGAGCGGCAGCAGCTGCTCCGACATTCTGACGAGGGGGAAGGGGAAGAGAGGAAGCAGCCGCGTAAATCATTCCCTGGGGAGGGGGACGCGCAAGTTGTGCGGGGCGGGCAGTCAGATGCGCGGAAGCGGAAGCGGGAGGGGAAGAGGGAAGGGGAGGGGGAAGCGGAGGCGGAATGGCAGGCGGAGCAGCGGGCGGTGGCGCGGCAGGCGCTGCAGCCGCACGCGCTCCAAGACGCGCTGACGAGCCTCCTCCCCGCCATCTCTGCCCATGCACGGAGCGGAGGCGGAAGCCGCGCGTGGCCTGGCTGTGACTGCTGCACGCGCGGACACACGCGGGGGGAAGCGGGCGACAGCGCGGAGGAGGGAGAGGCGAGAGCGGGAGAAGAGACGGGGAAGAGCGGAGGTGCAGGTGTGTCCGGTGGTGGCAGGCCTAGAGATTTCCTTTGTGGTGGTGATGAAGGTGCTGCGCAGTCCGGGCACGCGCGTGCGCGTGATGAAGGTGCTTTGAGACGTCTCAAAGGTGCTGCGAGTGGTGGTCGGAATTCTTCTGGTAGAAGACATAGCTGCTGCACGCGCGCCCGTTGCCCTTGCGTTGCGCCCCTGCTCTCTAAAGCAGGGCGCGGGGGACATGCAGTGGTGGAAGCAGGGAGAGAGCGAGAGGACCGGGCGGAAGGGCCGAGGAGGGAACAGCAGGAAGGGGGGGAAGGGGAAGCAGATGAAGCAGAGGAAGGGGAGGCAGGAGAAGACGATGTGGTGTTTGAGTGTGGTCCCTTCTGCTCCTGTGCTCTGCAGCAGCACCGCATGGCCTCACATCCAGGCCCCCGCACACCAACCAGCACAGTCTTAACAGCGGCAGCGGCACCAGCAGCAGCAGCAGCAGCGGAGGAGGAGGGAGCTTCTATCACCACCGCATGTCCCACGTGCCCCAACCGCAGCAGTCAGCGGGGCGTGCAGTGGAGCCTAGCAGTGGTGTGGAGTGGTAGCAAGGGGTGGACCCTGGTCGCCCAGGAGAGCATCCCACGCGGTGCCCTCATCTGCCAATACGCCGGTGAGGCTTTGTGACTGATTTGTCAGAGCTGCATGGGCTTGTGAGATGGCAGGGCAGCTAAGATGTAGCGATTCTTGCAGCGTTTCTTCCTCAAAGATGGCAGGAGATCATCCCATCCATCCCACGCGGTGCTCTCATCTGCCACTACGCTCGTGAGGCCGGTGTTGGGTTCCCCTTGTTAGATACGTCTTCCTTCGACTGCTCATCTCTGGTAAGTTCGTGGCTAGTGAGGGGCCAGCTTGAATGCAGGGCGTGCATCATGCGTGTGGTCTCTGTTGCTGTCCTGGATGTTAGTGAGGCTTGTCATGTCACAGCTTACTGTTCATCTAGATGCCAGCTCACAGCTTACTGTGAGAAGCCAGCTTACTGTGAGCTGCTGTACTAATCAAGGCGTGTCCAACCCAACATGTGTGCTGGCTGGAATTTATTCCTGCTCTTTCACTCACCTGCCAATACCCCCCTTCCCCCTTCATTTCTCAACTCTTTCTTCACCTCTTTTCTCCCCTCTTTAACACCCGCTTCTTCCTCCCGTGATGGTGCAGGCGAGGTGGTGAGTGGAGGGGAGGCAAGTGCACGGCAAGCTCTGTATGATGCTGCTGCAGGTTCGCATGTAAGGGCATGTGCACATGCGAAGGGAAAAGCCCAGGAGGATCAAAGCCCACAGCAGCAGCAGCTGCAGCAGCACCAGCACGAAGAGAAGCAACCGCAGGAGCAGCAGGAGCAGTTTCAGGGAAAAAAACAGCAACAGCAATCCCAAACGCACACGTCACCGCCACCCCGCCCCTCTCCACGCTTCCTCTTCACCCTCCGAGAGCACCTGCCATCAGGTGCAGTCCTGCGCACGCAGATAGACCCGTCTCGCATGGGCTCCCTGGGTCGATTCATGAGCCATGAGTGCGGGGGAGGGAATGTGGCTCGCGTGGTGGTTCGGCAGGCCGGCTGCTTGCTGCCTGCTGTGGGCCTTGTGGCTCGGAGGGAGGTTCGGCAAGGAGAGGAGCTTACGTTTAGCTATGGGGGTGTGGGGGAGGGGGAGGGGGAGGTGGAGGATGGGGATGGGGACGGGAAGAGGGAGGTGGAGGGGAGTGAGGGTGGGAGTGTGGGAGGGGATGATGGGGAGGGTGGGAGAGTGGAGGGCGAGGAGGGTGGGAGGGAAGAGTGTTGGAAGAGCGGTTGGGAGCAGCAGCAGCAGCGGCCGCTGGTGAAGCGGAGCAAGTGTTGCTGTGGTTCAGTGCGGTGCAGCGGGTATCTACCATTTGATGTGCTGTGATTCTACAGAGATTTCGGTATATACAAATGTAGCATTTTAATATCCTAGGCAAGCTGATGCATGATATGATGGGATGTGGTGGTTACAACCCCTAGAAAGCTCTGTTTGGCATAGCTGGTTTACAACGGCTATTTTACAACACAGCTCAGTTACGGTAATGAAAGCCATTACGCTACTGTAGGTACCTGCAATCACGCCATATCAACACCCTACAAATCCTTATCCTACGCAGAGTCAACCTAACTGCTACCCTCCCTCCTCCCAACCAGTTTCCCTCCCCTTCCCCTCCTCTTGCCCCTCACTCCACGCTAGACCAGTGCCGGAACTTGCAAATGCCCCGCCGGCCCTCGCCAAAGGAGGCGCGCACAGATGTGAGCAGGGCAGCCACGTTGGGGTCAGCCATTAGCTCGCTCGCCTCCTGATGTAGGGGGAGGGAGAGGTGGGGTGGAAGGGTGGAAGGGGGTATTACTATGCAATGAGGCAGAGACAGACGTGAGCAGGGCAGCCACGTTGGGGTCAGCCATTAGCTCGCTCGCCTCCTGATGTAGGGGGAGGGAGAGGTGGGGTGGAAGGGTGGAAGGGGGTATTACTATGCAATGAGGCAGAGACAGACGTGAGCAGGGCAGCCACGTTGGGGTCAGCCATTAGCTCGCTCGCCTCCTGATGTAGGGGGAGGGAGAGGTGGGGTGGAAGGGTGGAAGGGGGTATTACTATGCAATGAGGCAGAGACAGACGTGAGCAGGGCAGCCACGTTGGGGTCAGCCATTAGCTCGCTCGCCTCCTGATGTAGGGGGAGGGAGAGGTGGGGTGGAAGGGTGGAAGGGGGTATTACTATGCAATGAGGCAGAGACAGACGTGAGCAGGGCAGCCACGTTGGGGTCAGCCATTAGCTCGCTCGCCTCCTGATGTAGGGGGAGGGAGAGGTGGGGTGGAAGGGTGGAAGGGGGTATTACTATGCAATGAGGCAGAGACAGACGTGAGCAGGGCAGCCACGTTGGGGTCAGCCATTAGCTCGCTCGCCTCCTGATGTAGGGGGAGGGAGAGGTGGGGTGGAAGGGTGGAAGGGGGTATTACTATGCAATGAGGCAGAGACAGACGTGAGCAGGGCAGCCACGTTGGGGTCAGCCATTAGCTCGCTCGCCTCCTGGTGGATAAGAAGGGAGAGGGGGAGGGAATGGGGAGGGAGAGGGGGAGAAGAGGGGAGCAGAGAGAGCAAATGCAGGTGGGAGGGTGCACGGATGGACACGAGCAGTGCAGCCACTCGAGTTGACTTTTGAGTCGACTCAAAAGTCCACTTGCACGGATGGACACGAGCCGTGCAGCCACTCGTATTTGGGTAAAGAGTTGATTTTTGAGTCGACTCAAAAATCAACACGAGCAGTGCAGCCACTCGTATTTGGGTAAAGAGTTGATTTTTGAATCGACTCAAAAATCAACACGAGCAGTGCAGCCACTCGTATTTGGGTAAACTAATGGTCGAATTCGGATCGGCTATTGGCTTATTCGACTCCCAGTGAGTGGGGGGGAGAGGGCACGAGGGGGTAAGGGTGAAGTGGGAGGGGTGGAGGGACCTTATCAGTCGTTCAGCAGCCTGCCTGACGGCTCAAAGAGGAACGAGCCTTCACCAGCTGAATGCGCCTTAAGGGCCTTATCAGCTGGTGGAAAGACCTTATCACCTGGTGGAGGGACCTTGCGTTTGAGACGACTCAAAAGTCGTCTCTAGTTGAATTGAAGAGGCTCACTCACCAGCTGGTTGAGACGGTCCTCGAGGCCTGAGGCGGCATCGGAGGAGAGGAAGAGCTGCTGGTAGGCCCGCCGCACGTTGCGCACCTGGTAGGGTGTGGTGCGGTGTGGTGAGATGTGGAGGTGGTGGTGGGGGGTAGAGAGGGGAGGTGGGGGGAAAGCAAAAGGAGAGGAGGGTGTGGTGCTAAGTTGCAATATACGCTTATAGCGTATATACGCGTATCGTATATACGCTAGCGTATATACGCTATACGCGTAAGGGAGCGATTTGGACATACGCTTTTTGGGGCAGGGAAAAAACTTTCCCGGGCAGGGAAAAAAATCCGCCCGGGCTATTATAGGGGGGGGGATCTAAGGGGTTATGTTTCAGAGGTAAGTTTTTCTCCATACTAAGATAACCACCCTCAACTCGGCCCGAATTCGGGTTAAGATGCAGAGTTCGTAGGCTATAGACTGCAATAGCGTTGCGCGAATCTGCTCTGCTTCGGGCTCGCAATCAAGGCATGATTGCTAGAGTGTAGGAGGAGGCGTAGGAGAGATCCTGGACAGGGAAACCATCGCCAATGCTGGAATTCGTGCCCCACACCCATCGCCAATGTTGCCTCCAACCAATTCCCCCTCCCATCACCTATCTTCACCGCATTGCATCTATCTCATCCAACCAATTTGATATTTGAAATTTGTACAGTCGTCACGTCACTTCCTTCCAGTCCAGATCTACAAGACGTTTTTCTAGGGAGAGTCTTTCCCCCCATCCCTTCTGCGGGAAGAACCTTCGATCCGCGCGGATCTGCGGGGAAGGGAAATTGCCGATCAGCGCGGAAATCGCCGTTCACCCTTGCACAAATCGCGGACGTGAATTTTGACGGTGGCAAAATGCTCGTCGTGCAATTCCGCATCTTTCCGTATATTCACATTTTTTTCGGTCGGGCTGCCCCAGAAAAAATTGGCAAGCGTATAGCGTATTAGCTTGCGTTTAGCGTTTAGCGTGTAAACGCTAGCGTATATCCGCTAAACGCACAGTGTCCTGAGCGTATTTGGCAACTTAGGTGTGGTGGGGTTGGGGGGCGGTGAAGGGGAATGGGTAAGGCGAGAAGGACATAGGCATGGGCATGGACATAGGCACGGGCATGGGCATAGGCATGAAAAACCTCGCTTGGTTGGTGGAGAAGCCACAGTGCCCGAGCACTTCAAGTGCCAAATGCATAATGGCACAGCGCCTGAGACCTGCAAACGTGACTACACCCGATCATTCCGAGTAGCCTTCATGCAAATGTGCATTTCAGCAGCTCACCTGGTCGCGGGAGAAGAAGCAGCGCCTGAGCCCTTTGAGGTGACCTTTGAGTTTGAACGGACGCCAAAAACTCGAGAGTCACACCCCGTCCGTTGGGAGAGCCGGCCGCAGCTCACCTGGTCGGTGGAGAAGCCGCAACGCCTGAGCCTATGGAGACCAAGACTCCTTTTGAGTCGACTCAAAAGGAGACCAAGACTCATAACCCGAGTAGACTTCACCAGTGCAGTGCATTTCAGCAGCTCACCTGGTCGGTGGAGAAGCCGCAGCGCCTGAGCCCTTTGAGGTGACCTTTGAGTTTGAACGGACTCGAGAGTCACCCCGTTTGTTGGAGAAGCAACAGCGCCTGAGCCTATGGTGGTGCAGTGCATTTCAGCAGCTCACCTGGTCGGTGGAGAAGCCGCAGCGCCTGAGCCCTTCGAGATTCAGCCCTCTGAGCTCCGCCCTGTCGCCCGCCACCATGGTGTATATCGGCACGTCGCGCACCACCTGACCGATGAGGGAGGGGAGGCAGCAGGGGAAAGGGCGGGCAGAGAGGAGGCAAGGCGAGTTGAAGAGTACACGGTGTAGCCCCCTGAGCTCCGGGGACCTCCTGTTGCCCGCCACCACCACCATGGGTGAACGTGGGCACGTCCCGCACCACCTGGGGGAATGAGGAGCGGGGGGAAAGGGGAGAGAGGATACAGGAGGCAACGCGGGGTGAGGGCTAGACGGCAGAGGCTGATGACCCGGGTGACTTTGAGTCACACGTACCTCAACAGTGACCCACACGTGCTTCTGCTTTGCCCATCATGGTGCACCCACATACACAGCTACCCACACGGACACTTCCTCCCCTCCCCTCACCACCAGCCTCCCTCACAACTACAGGCGTACCATACCCCCCCCCCCCCCCCCCCCCGCAAGGAAGGGGTAGGAGCCGATGCGACAGAAAGGATGCACTGCCACGGCATGCATTACTCACTCTCTCAATGAAAACACACACAGCTACACACATGTCCATCATACCCACCAACCCACACACCTCTCCCCTCCCCACACCCACGCACGCACCATGGACCCTCCAGCAAGGAAGGAGTGGGAGCCGATGTGACAGAACTGATGCACTGCCGCCACATGCTTCACTACACACATGCTTCACTACACACATGCCACGCACGTGCCTAGTGCTTACATACACATCTTCTTCTCTCATGCACACCCACCCCCCTTCCCCGCACACACAAAAAACGAACACACCACACACCTACCATGGACCCTCCAGCAAGGAAGGAGTAGGAGCCGATGTGGCAGAACTGATGCACTGCCACCGCGCCCCCTGTGTGCACGAAATCCTGTGACCGGGGGCAAGGGGGAGGAGGGGGGAGTGGCAGGGAAATTGTCAGGAGCACAAGGTGACTCTTGGTTGACTCAAACGGCCACAGAATTCGGTGACAGGGGACGGGAGAAGAGAGAAGAGTTGTGGGGAGACGCGGGAGTTGGGAAATGACATACACACTTACATGTGCTGATCACAAGTAGTCTTGTACGCAACCACTGCTCCTATCTTGTTACTCTTAAGAATACCATTGCCCGCACCACATGGACATACAATCACACACACACGCACAACCACACACACACGCAATGACACACTTACATGCAGCACAACATGCCCCCCAAGAAGCGTGCCATTGGCGAGAATGTTGCGGTTGCCCAGCTTGCAATCATGTGCCACGTGGCATGATCCCATGATTAGATTGCAGTCCCCGATAATCTGACGTGGAAAGGCGGAGAGGGAGCGGGGGTGGGGGTGTGGGGAGGGTTGAGGGCGGGGTGGGGGAGAGAGGGAGGGAGGATAGGAGAACGAGAGGAGGGACCGGCAATGGGAGCGGAGCCAGCATGGACCGAGAATGCAAGGCGGAGGGAGAGGGGACAGCACAGACATGTTGCAGATACCTTGTCACCCACGCATGCACCCAGAAAACAAAGCACCAAGAAGGCTTACAGTTGTAGTGACGAGAGGAGAAGGGCACCTTTGAGGCGCCTCGGAGGAGAGGAGAAGGAGAAACACCAGTGAAGAGCACAAGGAAAGACAGGCACGACGGCTCACAGTGGCATCATCTGGCTTGGAGGAACGATGGATTTGGGTGTGCTCTCTCATATCGTTGAGCTTTTCTGTGCCATGCTGCGTTTTATGTCCTTGCCCCACATGCTCGCTCACACCCATGACAACGCAATCACATGCATGCATGCATGTACGCTCACAGTGGCATCGTCGGGCTTGGAGGAGCGGTGGATTTGAGCGTGCTCTCGAATGTCGTTGTGTGAGCCCAGCACCAGGAAGCACTCACTGCCCTCCTGCTCCGAAGATAGGGGGTTGGAGGGAGGGGGGAGAGGGCACACACACACACACACACACAATTCTTAAGTCGACGCAAAGGTCAGCATGAATGTCGTTGTGTGAGCCCAGCACCAGGAAGCACTCACTGCCCTTCTGCTCCGAGGCGGGCGGGGGGAGCGGAGAGGGGCAACACACACACCGGAGAGAGGAGAAGAGAACACCATATGAATGCGAGCACATGCACACACACACACACACACGCGCGCGCGCGCGCACACACGTGACGAAAACACTTTCTGATGCGATGGGTGGTGTGCAAGCCCAGCCCAGCCGCACGGAGCATGCGGTGTTTTTTTTTGTGTTGGGAGGGGGCAGATGAGCAATGAGAGCGCAGAAGAGTAGCAAGGAAGGTGTGGAGTGGAGACACAAGGAGAAGGGCACGAGTAGACAGGGTAACGGAGGGGCACTTGGCGGGACAAGTGCGCCTGCCCACATGGTATTTGAGGTCCTGACACTTGACGCCCACAGTGGCATGGTATCCGATGCTGTTGTGGCTGCCGACCACTGTAATTCCCTTCCCAGTGACTTCCGAGTTGACTTGAAACGAAACCTCTGCATGGGCTTCCTTCCTTGCCCACCTGGTAATTGAGGTCCTGACACTTGACGCCCACAGTGGCATGGTATCCGATGCTGTTGTGACTGCGGACCAGAGACACAGCCTGTGACTCCTTAGTGAATTCAGAAGTTACCTATGCAAGGAAGCCTCCCTGCGCACCTGGTATTTGAGGTCCTGGCACTTGACGCCCACAGTGGCATGGTATCCAATGCTGTTGTGACTGCCGATCACCGTCGTGCCTGGTAGGTCTGCTCCCACCACTGCTCCACTGGGAGCAAACAAGGGAGGGGAGGAGGCGCAGACAAAGGGTAACATTTTTAAGGAGACTCAAAAGTCACCTAGCTACAATGGCACACGACGCATAGGTCTGCTCCCACCACTGCTCCACTGGGAGCAAACAAGGGAGGGGGGGCATGAAGGAGCAGAGGGGCAGAGGAGAGGAGGTGCGGAGGAGAATAGGAGAGGTGGAGGAGAGGGGGGGAGGAGAGGAGGGAAGGAGAAGATGTGCAAAGGAGCTGGTAACATAGAAATGGGAAGAAATGCTGATGTGTGGGGCTTTGAGGGGCGAAGAGGTTGAACATGCCTCAAAACACACCATACAGACCAAGTGCCAGGCGTTGTTGCAAAAGACGAGCGGACTACCTTAAAGAAAATGGTAGCATAGCATAGCCAATGGTAACCGCGTTTTCTCCCTCCTCGTCTCCCTCCCCCTCCCTCCCGCATTCCCTTTCTCCCTTTCTCCCACTGTCCCCCGCACCCTCCCCGTTCTCACTCGCCCGACAGAAAGCAATGTCTCCTCACCTCATCAGCGTGCAAAACTCGCCAATTGTTGTGTTCCCTGCCACGTGGCACCCGGGCAGCAGCTTACAACCCCTCCCTATAGTCACATGGGGGCCAACAGTGCAGAACGGCCCAATCTCCACACCCTGGCCGTGTGATTAGTGGGATCGGGGAGAGCAGGGGGGAGAAAGTGAGAACGGGACATGGGCAGGCAGGAAGGAGGGGAATAAAAGGATAAAATTGGCTATTATTGTACAGTTGCTACGCAATCACATCGTTTAGAAGCGGTTTGGGACCAGTAAAGATACTAGCAATGGTCCGTTGCCGTAGGCCCTCCAGGTGCCCTACGGCAACGGACCGTCAGTCAAGGCTTCAAATTGATATATATATATATATATATATAATATATATATATATTTCGCTGCTCAATGTACTTACCTCCCGAATCATAGCATCAGGATGCACAACAGCGTTCGGATGGATCAGAGGAGGCGCGTCCGCTACAACCGCTCCGCCCGCCGTTTCCGCTATTCCCGCTGCTGGCCCCACCACAGCTCCCGCCACCGCCCCCACCCTTGATCCTCCCCCCGACCCTCCCCCCATCCGCGCAGCAGCTGCGGCTGCGGCTGCTGCGGACGACTGGGATGCGACAGGGCCTGTCGCACGAGCGGAAGAGCTCATCGCACGGCTCTGCTGCTGCGACTGCCGCAGCCACGCGCTCTGCGACGGCGCGACGCGGAAATGCAGCGACTCGCGCGTTACCGGGGGAGCGAGGAAAGCGGAAGCCCCCGCGGCGGCACGCGGGGGAGAGCCGGCGGAAGTAAACGCGGCAGAGCGGGCTGCTAGTGAGACGGATTCGGCGGAAGAAGGGCCGCTGCAGGGGAGACAGGCGCACGCAGTGCGCGCCATCTGCGCGAAACGCGCAGAATTGGGGGAAGCGGGAAAAAGTATGGATCAGGAAAGAGCATATGCGCGGGCAGAAGAGGGAATCAAAAGGCAAGTCGCGGACAGATCAGCGAAAGGCAGGGGGGGAGGGGGTTGCGAAGGGAATATCTTAGGACTATTAGAATTCCGCAGCAAAACAATCACTAGCTGATCACTAGCTGAAAACTCGTGTTAATTGACACGCTCCCTCAGCGTTAGACCCAATGAAGATTCGCCTTATGATGGATATTCTCAGCTTGTTCCTGATTCGAGTAATTAGAGTCGTTGCAGTTCTTAGAACAACAAATGCCATTGCGCCAATCAGCCATACCGGCGAGCGGCTCGGGGCGGAGGACGGGGGTCGGGATGGGGATCGCTGGGGATCGCAGAGGAGCGCCTGCGAGGGCCTACCTGCGATTGCAGCATCATTGCCACGGGCGACGACGACGACGGCGACGGCTGCGACACTGGTGGCGACGACGACAACAGTGGTGTTGATCTCCCGATTAAGCTGCTTTCAACACCGCTTCCACCTCCTCCTCCCCCTCGTCCCTCTCTTTCTCCAGATCCTACCCCTCCTACACCTCCGAAGCTGAGTCCAGTGGTGAATGTGCCTCTTGTCGACGAGATTCGGATCTTTTCCCTGGTCCGATTCTGAAATCCGGGCAAATCTTCAGCCTTTTCAATCCCGTCGTCGCCACTCTCAGCGCTTATCCTGGGGAAGAATTCGCGCCATGCGCCAAGCCGCTCGCGCTCCGATCCTCCTGATCCTCTCTCCGGGGTAAAAAGAACCTCCTCTGATCCAAGAGAGTCTACCGGGATTGTATTAAAAAAAAAACTCCCTTCCTCGCGCGATTGGCGGAATGTGGGGGCAGCAGGAGACTCTGCGCAGCACCGCTTCGCAAGTTGGAATCTTCGCGGGACGCGAACGAGCAGCAGCGCCGCAGCGAAGAGATTCTCGCGCATGCCCCTGAGGCGCGCCGGTACGCGAATGGGGACCCGACCCGCACGGCGGAAGCAATAGCGGCAGCAGCAGGCAGGCAGACAAGCAGACAGGCAGGCAGACTGACCTAGGTTCCAAAATCCAACTCTAAGTCACTCGAGTCGGAAGTGCCTTTACTGTACAATCTTGCAAGTGCGGCGACGATTTGCGGAAAACACTGTGGCACAGCAGAGACCACCACGAGGGCGCAACTCCCTAGGCTAGGCTTCTCTTTCGTTGGTCTGTTGCACGACACTTGCGCAGAGCAGCACTCAGGTCTCGGTTCTGGGCGAAGTTTGCCCGCCATCAACCCAAAATGACCCTCACTGACGTGTAAAAACACCCTATCATTGGTCATCTCACAAGTTTCCAGATATCTTGGAGCATGGAAGCCAATCAGACGTGTAATTTCGTCTACACTTGTCAAAGTCGAAAAATGAACATTTGAAAGCTGCGCGTGCGTGAGGGGTTGGGGAAAGAATAGGGGGGAGGAGGGCAAATATGGGTGAAGCGGAAAGAAATATCGACTCGCGCAGGGTGCGGCGGAGGGGAATTCAAACTTGGGTTGCGCGAGCGCGAGTGAAGGGGGAAGAGGAGAAGCGGAGAGCACCCTTGAGTTCCCGACAATCGCCCCGCCCCACCCCACGAAACCAGAGCGATCCGAGCGACCTCACCAAGTCGCGCAGATCGCGGAAAGGCGGGCCGAGCGGGAGGAGGTATTCGCTAATTGGTTCTGCTTCCTGAAGCTTCTCGTGATTGGCTGCCTTGCGGATTATCATGCAGCGTGGCGCAAGTTATGATTCAGCAATACGTGGCACTACCGATCGTTACTACTGAGTACACAGCAATCAAGTATGCCACTACATTACCGTCCCTATTCTGAAGCACATAGGAATGTATCGTGATGGAAACTAAAATAAGTCCTAGGAGTGAGGAATTAGAGAGGAGAAATGGGACACAAGCAGCATACTCAAACCAGGACTCAATATCCAGACAAAATCTCAAGCTTTCTTGACACAGGAGTTAGTAGTCGACCCGCTGACACTCTCATCCAAAGAAACCCCTTTTTCCTTGGAGCAGACACTCTCCCCGATCACAGCACCCTTCAATATCCTTGTGTTATTGCTTGCTGTTGATTCCATAAGCACTTCCATTCCCCCCCTGCTCCCCTGCGAGCTACCAGTCGTCACCCCACCCCTCACACCGCTCCCCCCACCACTCCCCTTTGCACTTCCACCACCACTCCTCCCACTCCTGGCGGCACCACTGCCGATAGCAGCAGCAGCAGCAGCAGCACCAGATCCCACACTAGGATGCGCCATAGCAAACCCTCCTCCAATGCTCCTGTGCCCTTTACTTCCCATGGCACTGACATCAGGAGAGCATGACCTCACAGGTACCATCTCCTCTGCCGCATTCCCCCCTCCTCCTGCTCCTCCTTTCCCTCCCTCCACATCCGCCCTCCCTCTCGCCCTACTCCCTGCTTCACTACCCGTAGGAGCCACCATTAGCAATCCATCAACCGCTGCCATCGGATCATTCTCTTCTAAACTCGCCCTCCCGTTCCCCTCCATCGCATTCCCTGCATGGAACCCCAGGCTAGACGCGGTACTCTCTGCAACCCGGATCGCCTTCTTTACTCGCTTCTGCTTCTTCTTCTTCTCCTTCTTTCCCGTCTCCCCTGTGTATTGACTGCTGCCCTGGCTCGTATTGCTCCATGTCTCTCCCATTGAGCTCGTTTCCCCCATGCCCTCTGTACCTGACGCAGAGTGCTGCTCCTTGGTTCTATCAACAGCAATAACTGCTGCTGCTGCTGCGGCTGGTGCAGCTGCTGATGATGCAGATACTGACGCAGCAACAGCAGCAGGAGGAGGCGGAGGAGCAAGTCCAGGGGCAGTAATGACAGCAGCAGAACGAGCAGACACATGAGAGGATGTCCCACTGGCAGCACCATCACACGCAGCACTACCTTCTCCTCCAAACCCTTCCCTCCTCCCGTTCCCTGCCCTAGCTCGCCCATACGCCTCTGCTCCAGGGCTATCCAGAGACTCCCGCTGCTGCTGCTGCTCCCCTCGATACTCCTTTCTTTGCACCAGTTGCGGCAGGTGTTCACTCGCTTGTCTTACTCCCTGCCCTGCAAAGCTGAAGTCCAGGGACGTGGCGAATGGACTCTCACACATCTCTGGAATGGGCACAGGGAAGGCCCCTGGCGTGCCGTATACTGCTGCCGGCGTGCCTGCAGCTGCTGCTCCTGCATGCATTGCCGTTGCTCCTGCTGGGGTGGGAGTGATGAAACCTGCTGCTGGCAGCTTGCCTGCTGCTGCTGTTGCTGCTGCTTCTGCAGGAGAGGGAGCTGAACCAGGTTGGATGGACACAGGCAGCGGCGTTCCAGTTGCTCCTGGTGTTTCCACAAACACACGTGCTGCAGCAGCAGGAACCACTGCTGGCGTAGCTGCTGCTGCTGCTGCAGCTGGGGTGGCTGCTGCTACTGGCGTAGCTACTGCTGCTGCTGCTGCAAAAGGCACCCGCGCAGGGCTTTCAAGAGGCAGAGGTCTTGGTTGTTGCCCATCAGCAGAAGGAGGAGTTGGTGTGGCAGAGCCAGACACAGGGACAAGTGCAGCAGCAGTCGTGACGGAAGCAGGAGCAGCGGCAGTTGGGGAAGACAAACCAGCAGAGTCAGCAGCAGCAGCAGCAGCAGCAGCAGCAGCAGCAGCAGAAACAGCAGGAGGAGCGGCAGATCCCACAGCAGAGGCAGCAGACATGACAGAAGACGATGTTGATAGCCCCTTAGCAAACACACCGCCACCGCCACCAGAACGCACACCAGAACCAGCAGCACCGGCAGCAGCAGAGACGGATAGTGCGGCGCTGCTACGAGCCGACTTCACCTCCTCGCCGTCGACGTTTTGCCCCACGGACTCGCGCAACGGATACTTGCCGACAGCAGCAGGATTGCTGTGTGCCGAGCCCATGCGTACTGCCTCAGGAGTGGGCATCGTGGAAGCATGCGGCTGCACAATTGCGTATGCTGCTGCTCCCGCTGCTCCTGCTGCTCCTGCTGCTGCTGCTGCTGCTGCTGCTGCTGCTGCTGCTGCTGCTCCCACTGCTGCAGGAGGAGCGGGAGAAGCAGAGAGGGAGGGAGCAGGCAAGGGGGATACAGGAGCTGGCCCACCAGTGTGCCTCTCCTCATAGAGCGCTGCTGCTGCTGCCAAGATCCCATCCACCACCTCCCGCCTGATCCCCGATATGCTTGGGCTCATTCCGTCAAACGGGTTGGTGCCCTCACCTACAGCCTCCCCTGCCGTGCCCTGCTTGATCAGAGGAGTAGCGACCGCTGCAGCAGCAGCAGCAGAAGCAGCAGGGGAGGCAGAAGTAGCAGCAGCAGAAGCGTGGGGAGCAGGAGAGGCGGCAGCAGGAGGTGCAGCAGCAGAAGAGGCGGAGGAGTCACGGAGGGCAGGAGGGATGAAGTCCCTGGGCCGGCTACCGCAGCTTCCAGTAGACCCTACACTCGCCCTCATCACGCACGGGTTACCATCACCAGCAGCACCAGCAGCACCAGCAGCACCAGCAGCACCAGCAGCACCGGCAACACCAGCAGCAGCAGCATAAGCAGCAGCGCCAGCACCAACCATACCATCTGCACTCCGTGGTGCCGTTCCCATGTCTTCTCCTGCTATACCATCCCTCACATTCCCTCCCTTCACCTCCACACTCGCATCGGATGACCTCACTCCACGCTTCCTCCCATCACCACCCCCGCCCACCGCACTGCACGCCACAGCACCCCCTCCTTCCTCCTCTTCCACCACCATCTTCCCGCCCCAAACTCCCCCTTCCCTTCTCCCCCCCACCCCAAAAGGCTCCCCTGTACTCCCCACGCCCTCCTCCACATCCTCTCCCATCACACCCCCGTCCTTCTCCCCCTGCCTCTTACTTCCCGAGCCTCCGCCAGAGGCTTGGCTCCAAACCTGGAGGCTTCCAGCCCTCCCGCTCCTCCCACTCCCCACCCTCCCTTCCACACTCATCCCTCCTTCTCCCACTCCCCGTGTCCCCTCGTCCGTCTCTCCATCTGTCCCAACCTCACCCCTCTTCACTTCAGCTATCACTGCCACACTCTCTTTTGTCCCTCCTATTCCTCCCTCCTCCATCACGCTACCTGCTTGACCGCCCTCAGTTATCCCTACTCCTACACTCACACTCCCAGCAGGGAAGGCAGCAGCCGGATGAATCGCCTCCGCAGCAGCAGCAGCTGTACCTGCAGCAGCCAATCCTGCCGGCACTCCATATGCCCCACTACCAGCACCATTAGCCCCAGCACCATCAGAACCAACAGCTACAGCAGCAGCAGCAGCGTCAGCGCCAGCAGCGTCAGCAGCAACCGCAGCAGCAGTCTTCTTCACGCCAGTGAGCCCGAGAAGGGAGGCCCAGAGGGAAGGCTTGGCCTCTGGCCATCTGCTCTGTGTCACAGGGGACACTGGCAGGGTAGATCCCGCAACAAAGGAGCTCGCTTCCGATCCCTCTCTGTGCAGCTCTGACGCCCCGTGAGATGCCTCTGCTCCTGCTGCTCCTGATTTACCAGCAGCGGCAGCAGTAGCAGCAGCAGCAGCAGCGAATGCTGGTGGGACGTTCTGCTGCCTACTGACTGAATAAGCCCTAGGAGCGGCGGCAGCCACACTGCCGGAATAGGCTCCTCCTGAACCATCCATGCTGTGTGAAATCACAGGACTGACAGCCGGCAGAGGGCTATGGGTACTCGCCCAGAGAGCAGGAGCAGAAGGTCCCTTTTCAGACCCACCTGCAACCAACCCAGGACTGTTAAACCCCATACCCGCTCCTCCTATCACCCCACCAGCAGCCCTTCCTGCTCCACCTGCTCCCACACTCCCCACCCTCATGTTCCCACCACTAAACGCGGCACTTAGCCCGGCACTGCGCGAAACACTAAACACCCTGTTACTAAGCGGGGTCGACCCATTCGGGCCGCCATTTGACCAGCCCCAGGAGCCAGCCATCGAGCTTATAGTGAGTCCGTCTGTATGGGATCCAGTAGCCCAGTCAGTAAAAGAGACCCCCGTGCTAGCCTCGCTCCCGTTCGCGTTGCTGGTGTTGTTGGTGTTGCTCCTAAGAACATCCTCCTGGTTACCACTGGTGGCGGTGGCAGTGGTGGTGGCGGTGCCAGCAGCGGTGGTGGTGGGTAGGCTGTTGTGGGAGAGTGCACTAGCCATGCTCGTTCTGCTAGCAGACGCTGTGAGAGTGCCTGTGCCTGCTGCCACACTAGGAGAAGATGTGTACGTGCTTGCACGCTCGGTCCTGTAGCCTTCCTCTGATGCTCCTCCTCCTGCTCCGCTGCCTCCTCCTGCTACCGCAAAGATCCCCACAGCAGCAGCAGCAGCAGCGGCAGTGCCAGCAACAGCAGCGCCAGCAGCAGCAACAGCACCACCAGACCCATCAGCAGCTACAGTCATTGCGTCGCCCGCCTCTCCCCCTCCCTGGCCCTCCACCCCCTCAGCAGTTTCACACCCTTCTTCACCTTCCTGCACCCCTGCCTCTTCCTCTCCCACCCCGCCCGCCCCTCCCATCCCTCCCTCCCCATCCCCACCGCTACTCCCATTACTAATCTCAACCGCACACCCATCATTCGCCACCAGCGACTGCTTCCCCATCTCCTCCGCCGCACCCCCTCTCTCCTCATCCTTCTCCCTCTTGCTCCCACACCCGAGCCACGGACGAACAGCCACCGGCAGCAGCAGCCCGAACCCCTGCCACACAGCCTTCAGCCCCTCCCAGAACTGAACAACCGCAGAGGGCAAGGGGGAGCACGCGGAGGGGGAGGAGGAGGAGGAGGTGGGGAGGGAGTAGGACGGCGAGAAAGTCTTAGGAGAAGAACCAGGCCCAGCAGTCAGAAGCTTCTTCGACCGAACCCCCACCACCCCTCCTCCCGCTCCTGCTACTCCTCCTGCTACTCCTCCTGCTCCTCCTCCTCCTCTTGACGGCCCAAGCGCCTTACCAGGGCACAGGGCTCTAACCTGCTCCACTATCCCATACCAGAAGGTCACGGTCTGTCCAGCCGCAGTAACCACAAGCATTGATACCATGGCTATATCCCAGGAAGAGCCGGGCTGGCACGCAGTGGGGTTTGCAGATGGGTCTAGAGAGATGAAAGCGAGGGCGAGGGAGAGGAGGGCGATGTAGGCGGCGTGGGAGAGCGACTCTGTCGCGAGGATGAGGCGAGAGATGAAGGGGCGGACGAGGAGGAGGAAGAGGAGGTGCAGCGAGGAGAGCACGAGGAGGGCTATGACCTGGGAGGAGGCGGCGTGGGACGAGGAGGAGTGCAGGGGGAAGGCTCCCAGCAGCGCGCCGAGTGCAATGCGGTGGGAGAGGTCCGCCAGGAGGTGCAGCGTGCGCAGACGCCCCTTGGCTCGCGACACCGTGGAGGGACGTGCTGGGGCGGAGGAGGAGAGCCACGGAGCTGCTGCTGTGGCTGTGGCTGTTGTGGGCGAGTCGGTTATGACGACCTGTTGAGTAAGGGACGAGGGACAGAGGGGGGGATGGATGGAAGGAAGGAGGGAGGAGATTGAGGAGGGTGAGATTGAGGGTTACAGGGGAGCACCCAGAGCAGTGCGGTGGGAGAGGTCTGCCAGCAGGTGCAGTGTGCGCAGTCGCCCCTTGGCTCGTGACACTGTGGAGGGGCGCGCTGGGGCGGAGAAGAACCAAGGAGCGGCTGCTGTGGGCGAGTCGGTTATGACGACCTGGTGGGTGGGTGTGGGGGGGTAGGTAGGGAGGGGAGCGGTAAGGGTGGGGGGTTAGAGGGGAAGGAGAAGGAGGGGGGTTAAGGGGAAGAGGGTAAGGTGGGAAGGAAGGACAGGAATGAGGGAGGGAGGGGGGGAGGGAGGGAGGGAGGGAGGGAGGGAGGGAGGGAGGGAGGGAGGGAGGGAGGGAGGGAGGGAGGGAGGGAGGGAGGGAGGGAGGGAGGGAGGGAGGGAGGGAGAGGGAGGGAGGGAGGGAGGGAGGGAGGGAGGGAGGGAGGGAGGGAGGATAGCGAGGAAAAGTGGTCAATAGGGATTCCACGTATGCATGTGATTCACAACCCATCCAACCATCCTCCTTCAACCCCCCTACCACGCCTCTCACTACCCTCCCTTCCAGCCCACCCACCTGTCGCATGAAAGCAATGGTGAAACTTTTGAGTCCACCCAGCAGCCTACCCACTCTACCTCTCACCCCCAGTACCCCCAGCACCCCACCCACCTGTCGCATGGAAGACCCATCGCGGACCAGCCTCACTCTTGCCACCTGCATCGTCTTCCCCACCACCCCCCCAACACACCCTGCAACCGCCGCTCCTCCACCCATTCCCCCCCCCCTGCTAACCACCATCTCCCCTCCTCCCGACCACTCCCCACCCCTCCAAACCCCTACCTCCTCCCCCTCCCCCTCCTCCACTTTCTCCTCCAAAGTTTTCTGCCACCATCTTCCCACCGCCGGCACCCCTCTCCGCGTCTCCACCAGAGGGCCCCACTTAGCTAAGTGCTCAGCGCCTGGATTCTCCACAATCCCAGCAAGGCCTTTGCTGGTGCTGAGAATGAGGCTGCTGCTGGTGCTGGGGTGAGGGGAGGGTCGCCAGGAGGCTGAAAGCGGGCGACCCAGGAGCAGGCTTGATAAGCGGGAGAGGAGGTGCTGTGAGGGAGGAGGGCAGGAGTGGTGGGAAAGGGCCTTGGTGTCTCGCTCCTGTTTGGGGAAAGTGTGGGGGGGAGAGCGAGAGCGGGAGAGAGGGAGAGAAAGAGGAGGAAAAGTGGGGAATATGATGAGCTGCCCTTTTTTACGAGCAAATGAATGATACAAAGCAGGGTGATTCTGAGAACTCCCATATACACATTACCGGAGACATAAAAACACATCCGCACGCAGGGGGAAAGGAAGGCAATCAGAGACAGGAAAACGGTTTCGTTTCTTCAGGTCTCTCAAAAGCCAGCCCATAAGAGGGGAGGCAAGTAGAATCTCAACAAGACCAGGAATATTGTGAGAAATTGCTAGAAAACGTGATTTTTCTTCTATTTTTCCTCTTTCTTTTGTTCTGGTGAAAGTCCTTCCAACGTAGCTCGTACACAGCGAGGGGCCGTCCGTCCTGCATTAGCAAAGATCTCGACAACACGACAACGAAGCGAAGAGCGGCCAGCAGGAAAGCAGCAAGTTTTGAGACGTCTCAAAAATCCTTCCATCGTACGTACCTCGTACACAACGAGGGGCCGCCCTGCACTAGCAAAGATGGCGATGACGAAGCGAAGAGCGGCCAGCAGGAGAGCAGCGAGCAGCAAGAGCAGCACCACTGCCACTACCAGCTGCGCTGCAGCCGTGCCTGCAGGGGAGAGGGCGGAGAGGGAGAGGTGGGAGGATTCTTAGTCAATGTGAAACGAGAGCAGCGAGCAGCAAGAGCAGCACCACTGCCACTACCAGCTACGCTGCAGCCGTGCCTGCAGGGGGGAGGGTGAAGAATGGAGGTGAGGCATAAGTTGAGCTGGGTAGAAGCGTTGCCATGGATAACCCAAAAGCGTGGCAACAGAGACACACTCCCCTCCCCGCACCGTTTCCGCCCGGGAAAAAAAGGGAACAAGAGCAGTCAGTCACGTATAGCGCCCCATCAATCGTGGCAGGGGATGGCTGGCTGGCAGGGGGGTTTTAACTCACCTTGGAAGAGAGTAGCCATGGAAAAGGAGAGCGCGGGCAGCAGAAACACCCCCAGCACGACCTCCGGGCGCGGGAACGAGAGCAGATGCGCGGAGGGAGGCGCGGGGGACGAGGGCAGCGAGGGGGAGGAGGCGCAGGGGGGCGGGGAGGCGGAAGAGGCGCGTCTGGAAGCGGGGGAAGCGCTGTTCCGCTTCTTGGGGGGGGAAGGGGAGGAGCAGAGGCCGGGGCTGGAGTGGGTAGAAGCGGGGGAGCGGGAGTGGCGGGAGTAGGGCGAGGGGAAGGCGTAGGGCGAGCGGAGGTAGGGCAGCGGAGTGCTTGGGGGAGGGGAGGAGAACGCGGGGGGTGTGGCGGAGTGAGAAGCAGCGGAGGAGGAGGAAGAGGAGGAGGAGGAGGAGAAGAGGGAAGAGGAAGGCTTGGGCAGGAGCAGGAGGGAGATGAGGTGGAGGAGGATGAAGGAGGAGATGAGGATGGCGGTCCAGAAGAGAATCTCCATGGCCTTAGTCCATCTGAGCAGGTGAAAAAGGGGAGGGGAGTAGAGTATTGAGTTGGCAAAAAGAAAAGATGAAGGAGGAGATGCGAATGCCCTTAGTCCATCTGACCGACGGGAGGGGAGGGGAGGGGAAGGGAGGGGAGGGGAGGGGAGGGGAGGGGAGGGGAGGGGAGGGGAGGGGAGGGGAGGGAGGGGGTGAGAGGAGGAGAGTGATCAGAAGTCAGGCACCAGATACCCTAAACGTGCATTTGCTTCTGAGGCGTGTATCGGGCTAGCATCAGGACTCGCTTCTGATCACCCGCGTTGCCCTCCTCTGCTTCCCTTTAAGGAGGTGACTTTTGAGTCTACTCAAAAAAGTGTCGTGTGTCATTGTAACGACGTTGACTTTTGAGCCGACTCAAAAGTCACCTAACATCAGGACTCGCTTTCGATTACCCACGTTGACCTCCTCTGCTTCCTTTTACGAAACGCGGGATGATAGGAGCTAGAGATGATAGGAGCAACAGAAGCAACAGCAGCAGCTTCAGCACCATTCCAATGGATCATATCATATCACAAAGGAGCCTGCGAGTTTGCTTTTGAGTCGACTCAGAACTCAAAAGCTGGATCATATCATATCATATCATATCATATCATATCATATCATATCACAAAGGAGCCTGCGAGGGAGGGCCTTACATGAGGTTGCTGTGAGCCTCGGAGGCAGCCTCGTCCCAGTACGAAGCAGCGCCCGCCGCAACCGCTTCAAGCTCCTGATCACGTCGTTCGGAAACCAGGCAGATGAAGAGGAGGTGAACGAGTGAAGGGAGAACGGTGGGAAGGGGTGAGAGAGGGTTGAGGGGAAGGGGAGGAAGGAAGGGGGCCGGGGAGGGTTGGTCACCACAGGTCACGCCTGTCTTACTGTTCAATGAATGCTGCAAAACGGCTCTCGAACCTTCTCAACCGCTCTCCACCGTACCTTTTGAAGGTCTCTGTATTCTGTGGTTGTAAGGTAGCTGGTATCCGCCTTCATCTCCTCTTCACTGCCACTACTGCGATTCTTCGCTTCTCCATCCGTCCCATTCAACCACCCTCCTCCATGCTCCCTGCGTCCCCCTTGAACAGCAACAACAACGCCACCATTTCTGTCTCTCACGCTATCGCCACCATCACCACTACCTCTGGTGAAAGCGGGAGTGGGCAGGCCTTGCACCCCCTCCACTTCTCCCTCCTCTCCATCCTCTCCCTCCTCATCCACCTCGTCAACCTCCTCCTCTTCGTCCCCTTCCTCCTCTTCGCTCCCTGTCATCATCGCATCGTCTCCTGCCACCCTGTTCGCAGGAGCCTGCTGAGGTGAAGCTTGTTTCACAACAGCAGCAGGAGCAACAGCAGGAACAGCAGGGGTATCTGCAACATTGACAGCACGTGCATGAGCAGCAGCAGCAGCAGCAGCAGCAGCAGCAGCGCCAGCAGTAGGGTCTGGGGTAACATCAGCAGCAGCAGCGCCTGCAGTAGGGCTTGGGGTAACATCAGCAGCAGCAGCGCCTGCATGGATCACACCAACAGTCGGCCCATGCTTTGGGGTTACACCCCTGTTCCCCTCCGCCGTTTCTGCTCGTGCTAGGAGTAGGAACATCTCGTTAGTATCACCTTCAAAGCCACCACCACCAGTACCCCCTGACGGCCGTTTGGCACCCCTCCCCTTCATGTAATGCCGTACCAAGTCCGACCCACCAGATTCGCTTCCTAACTCACGTCTCAACGCATCAGTTGCATCAGTTGCATCACTCACATCACCCCTGAAACCGCCTCCTAGATCGCCCATCTCTCTCTGGAGGTCCCCATTCGATTCTCCTCCATCATTCCCTATGCTATCCCTTCCATCCCTTCCCAGCAGCCTCCTGGTGTGCGGGCTTCGCGCGGGAAAAGTGTTATCTGCGTGTCCAGACTCGCTCGCGTATGTTGCTTCACCGATACGAACAGTCACAGGGAGGGCAGAGGAGGGAGAAGAGGAAGACGTGGATGAAGCCGAAAGTGGGGAGGATTCAGAGGCGTTGACTGCGGTTCTATGGGCTTCAACTGCAGCGGCTGCTGCTGCTGCTCCTGCTCCTGCTGCTGCGACTGCTCCTGCTCCTGCCTCTGCTCCCGTTTTGGGAATCTGCATAGCTGGTCCCTCTATCTCTCCAAAACCACCACCAGAGGCAGCACCACCAGCAGCACCAGCAGCAAAACCACCAGCTACAGCAGGATTCTGCAGCATGTGCGGGTTGAGATCTTGAGACCAGGGGAGCTTGGCGGAGGGTACGATCCAGAGCAGGTTGTGTGCCGCTTGGGAGAAGGTGAGCGGGAGATCGGTGGCGAGGGAGGAGGAGAGCGCCATTGCCTGCAGATGAAACGCCATGTTCTGTGGAGGGAAGGGAGGTGGAGAGACGGGGAGACAGGAAGACAGGGAGACAGGGAGACAGGGAGAGAGAACGAGCGGGAGGGACGGTTTATGAGTCAACTCAAAGACCCGTGGCGAGGGAGGGGGAGAGCGCCATGGCCTGCAGGTGGAACGCCATGTTCTGTGGAATGAAGGGAGGTGGAGAGACGGGGAGACAGGAAGACAGGGAGACAGGGAGACAGGGAGAGAGAACGAGCGGGAGGGACGGTTTATGAGTCAACTCAAAGACCCGTGGCGAGGGAGGGGGAGAGCGCCATGGCCTGCAGGTGGAACGCCATGTTCTGTGGAATGAAGGGAGGTGGAGAGACGGGGAAGCGGATTGCGAGAGAGACGGCATTTGATGAGAGGAGAGATATGGAGCGACAACGGAAGAAAGAATGGGAGGAGGGGAGGTAAAGCAGAGATCTATCATCCACTTGGAAAAGATTATGTTGACTTTTGAGTGGAATCAAAAGTCAACTCAAAAGTTGAGTCGACTCAAAAGTTGAGTCGACTCAAAAGAATGGGAGGAGGGGAGGTAAAGCAGAGATCTATCATCCACTTGCAGAAGCTTATGTTCCTCCGTTATTATTCCAATGCACGAACGCCTGGGGCCTCCAAACCCCATAGAAACAGACTTATCAGGAAACTGCACGAGGGCACAGCACAGCGAGCAGGGCAGGGCAGCAGAGGCGGCGGTGGTGATTTTGAGGACTAGTGAAAGAGGCTAAGGTTCACCCACCCGCCAGGAGACTGCACAGCCCTGCCGACTGCGGGTATCAATCATCCCCCACAAGCACACACACACCCACCCACGCACCAGGAGACTGCGAGAGGGCACGGCGAGCAGCGCAGCAGAGGCGGCGGAGGTGGCAGTGGTAGCATGGCCGGAGAGGGCGAGGGCGGAGGAGGAGAGGGAAAGCAGCGCGGAGGCGGCCATGGAGAGAGATGCTGCTGCTGTTGTGACTCCTGACACCACCGACGCTGCTGCTGGTGACTCGTCTGCAGGGTAAGAGGGGAGAGGGAGAAAGATGGGATGGAGTTGGGAAGGGATGGAAGAGTTTTGAGGCGACCCAAAACTCGAGTTCGGGAGGGACGGAGGAGGGGAGGGACGCAACAGAAAGTGCCACATGCAATGCACCACTCGCAATGCAATGTGCCACGTACACTGCACGAAGGTGAGAGTGGTGGACGCCTGCTCGTTGCTGCGGTTGGGTTTCGGTTAAGTTTTAAATCACCTCACCTCACACCATGCATACCCAGATTCAACAATCCACCACCCCTGGTGCCACGTACACTGCACGAAGGCGAGAGTGTTGGACGCCTGCTCGTTGCTGCGGTTAGGTCGTGACAGATAACACACCTCAGAACATGCCCTCCCACAACCAACAACGTGACTCAACAGCACGGCTCAACAACCCACCACCCCTGCTGCCACGTACACTGCACGAAGGCGAGAGTGTTGGACGCCTGCTCGTTGCTGCGGTTGCACGGGCCTTGCAGCGCCCCAGCAGGCACATGGATCGACGCCGCCTCGCCCGCTCCGCTCGGCTGAATGCTCACCACGTTCTCCAACAGCGACCGCTGGTAGATGCTGGTGCGGGGGAGAGAAGGGGGGGAGGGGGTGCACGGAGAGAGGATGGAGCAGGGTAAGAGGGACGGGAAGAGTGGGTTGACTGACACGATGTATGAAGGTTGAGCTAGGCTGCTAGCTGTCGTCTCGCTTGCTGCGCTCGGCCCACCCGACAACAGGCGATGAACTCGCTGTCACCCTCACACTCGCAGCGGTGAATGCGCGCACTGGCGCTGCCCAATGGGTCAGTCCGCGCGCCAGGGTTGCTTGGTCCCCCCGCCCCCACAATGGTGCACCCACTCCCCCCCATGGATACAGCCCACAACCCCCCTCCCCCGCCCACGCGTGCCACCGAACTTGCTTACTCACCCGACAACAGCAGCGCCCGCCACCCTCACACTCGCGGCGGTGAATGCACGCACTGGCGCCGTCAGCGCCACCAGCACGCGTGCTACTGCTTCCCCCATGGGCGCAACCAGCACGTGAGACGGGGAGAGCGCCGTGAGCTGCGCGGATAGGGGCGCGGGGGCTGTGAGAGGGGAGTGGAGGGAGGGGTGGGGGGGAGGTGGGGCAGGGACGACAGTGGGGAAGGGAAGGGAAGGGAAGGGAGGGATTGCCGGGGTGGAGGGGATGGGAGAGAGGGGAGGGATGGGAGGGAGGGAAGGGGAGGGGAATGGGGGAGGGGATAGCAGGATGGGCTGAGAATGTTACGCAGATAAAGAATAGTGAACGTAATGCTCAAAGGGGGCGGATAAACGCGTGACAGAAGGTAAAAGAGACGCAGGGGGAGGGAGGATAGGAGTTTGCGAGGAGGGGGGCCGGGGAGGTAGAGACGGCATAGGGCGGAAGAGGGGGGAAAAGAAAAAGGCGAGGGGAGACAAGGTTGCAGTGAGAACGGAGCAGGAAGTAGAGCAGAGCACAGGAGGGCAAGCAGCACAGCAGACAGGCAACAGAACAGAGCAGGCAGCAGAGAAGAGCAATCAGCCGTGGCAGGCAGCAGAGGGAGAGCAGGAGGCAGGCAGCAGGCACGGCTGACGCGGAGTATACCATAGAGGATGAACCCAGGCGAGGACGCATGGCTGACGGCCCCGTATTCATTGGTGAGGGCAGCCTCAGGCAGGGCGAGAGACACGAGCGAGACGGCCGCAGTGGGAGTCACCTGCGGGTGAGAATGGATGGAATGAACACGAGGGAGGGAGCAGAAGGGGAAACGGGTTTCGTCTCGGGAAACAGATGGGTGAGGGAGAAGGGAAGGGGCCATCACTTTGAGCCCCCTCTCACCCCACTCTCCCTTGCCGCTCCGCTCGGCAATCCCAACTGCTTTCCCCTCACACGAAGCTTCATCCTTACGATTGCCTCAGTGCGCTCCCCATGCTCCCCTCTCAACTTTCGAGACGTCTTTAAACTCAACCACACGCGAGGTGACTTAGAGTCGACTAAAACAATATTGCCTCACTCTGCCCCACCCTCCCCCTCCCCGACTTTCGGAACGTTTCAGAACTCACCCACACGCGGAGCTTCTTCCTGCTGATCGCCTCAATGCGCTCTATCCTTTCCCCCAAAGGCCTCGTGTTACCACGAGCTCTCAGTGGACCGGTATGGGAAAGGGGGCCTGATTTCCTCCTGGGCTCACCCAAAAGCCCCCCCCCTTCCCCCCCAAAAAAAAAATATATATATTATATATATATATATATATATATATATATATATATCCTTTCCCCTCGCACCACGCCCGCGCCCCTCACTGCGCCTTCCAGCCCATCCGCCGCAGTCTCACCCAACTCTCCTCCCAATTTCCCCTCAATCCCACCCCATTCTCCCCCCAATCGCACTCACCCACACGCGGAGCTTCTTCCTGCTGATCGCCTCAATGCGCTCTATCCTCCCGCCCCGCACCACGCCCGCGCCCCTCACGGCGCCCTCCAGCCCATCCGCCGCCGTCTGCAGCCGCACCAGGAACCGCACGTCGGAGGGGTGCAGAGCGGTGTAGAACGGCCGCGGCTTCCCGTGGAAGAACACGGGCGTAGGGTCCAGATCGGGGGTGATTCGCACCTTGAGGTCGCGCTGGTCTGCTCCGGGTGTGTGGGAGAGAAGGGGGCCCGGGGAGGGAGGTAGGGAGACTTGTTAGTCAAGTACAGAGTCCGCTCAAGGGTCCAGATCGGGGGTGATTCGCACCTTGAGGTCGCGCTGGTCTGCTCGGCGCGCGGGGGAGGGAGGAGGGTGAGGGAGGGAGGGGGGGGCGGAGGTGAGGGAGGAGGGCGAGGGAGGGAGGGGAGGGAGGAGGTGAGGGTAAGGGTTGTTGAGGTGCCTCAAAAGCCAGAATGGGAGTGTGATTCGGACCCTGAGCTCGCGCTGGTCTGCTCGCGGGGCGTGCGGGGCGTGTAGGGGATGTGGGGCATGTGGGGCATGTGGGGCATGTGGGGCATGTGGGGCATGTGGGGCATGTGGGGCATGTGGGGCATGTGGGGCATGTGGGGCATGTGGGGGATGTGGAGGTGAGAAGTGGGGCCAGGGAGGGGAGGGCGGATTTCTTAGCCGCCTAAAGGGTACACAAAAAACGTCCAACTAAAGAATCTGTTAACTCAAAAAGGGTCCAATCGGGCGTGACTCGGAACGGAAAGACGGGGGGAGAGGTGGTGATATGGAGGAGCGAGGGAAGGAATGGGCGAAGATGAAGCGTGACGGATGTGGTGCTGGTATGGCGACAAGTGGCAACAGAAGGCCCTCGCTTCACACACTCCGCCCTTCACACTCCGCCCTTCACACTCAGCCCTTCACACTCAGCCCTTCACACTCAGCCCTTCACACTCCGCCCTTCACACACTCCGCCCTTCACACTCCGCCCTTCACAATCCGCCCTTCACACGTGCTCCACACACTCCCTCACACCTACCGTATCGGAACTTCAAAGAGGCAGAAGAGCACGACTCCACCAGCTGCTCCTCCCCCCATTCCTCCATTGCCGCTACTCCCCCCTCCCCCTCCCCTTGCGCCTCTCCGGTTCCGCCCTCTCCGCCTCCCCCTGCCGTCCCATTCAACCGCGGCCTCAGGTCGTTAGGAGCCAACCGCGTGTCTGCAATCCGAATACTGCGACTGGCCCCACCATTCGCACCCTCACCACCACCATAACCACCACCACCACCAGCACCAGCACCAGCAGCAGCAGCAGCAGCAGCAGCAGCGTCGCCATCCGTGACTTGCCCCAGGGTGGCACGGACCATGCAGGCCTCTCGGGGCATGCGCACGATCACGCGGCCGTACTTGGCTGTGAACGCCACTCGTGCTGTGTACCGCAGCCCTGGCACCACCTCCTGGAAACTCCCCGGGACAATCTCCGCTGGGCCCCGAACCACGATCTGCGGGAGCAGCGCAAGGGAAAGCGTGGAGTGGGGGGGGGGGGAGTGGGGGAAGTGAGGTTGGGGGGGATGGTGGACGGTGGGGAAGAGGCACAGCCACTCGTGCTGTGTAGCGCAGCCCGGGCACCACCTCCTGGAAACTCCCCGGGACGATTTCCGCTGGGCCCCGAACCACGATCTGCACAGGTGGGCAAGGGAGGGGAAAAAGGGAGAGAGGTAGGGGCGCCTTTCAAATGAGTCAACTCAAAAGCACCTCCTGGAAACTCCCAGGACAAATTCAGCCGGGCCCCGAACCACGATCTGGGGGAGCAGCAAGGGATGGGAGCAAGGGAGGGGAGCAAGGGAGGGAGGGAGGGAGGGAGGGGCCCCTTATGAGTTAACTCAAGAACCACCAGCAGCAAGGGAAACTCCGGTACCACCTCCTGGAAATTCCCAGGACAATTTCCGCTGGGCCCCGAACCGCGATCTCGGGGAGGGGAGCAATGCAGGAGAGCAAGGGAGGCAGGGGGGTATGGCAGTCTTTAGAATCAACTCAAGAACCACCGTCTGGACACTTCCCAGGGCGACCTTCACGGGGCCTCGTACCCTGAGCCGTCTGAAATTTTTGAGACGTCTAAAAAAAATAAACTGCACGAGTGGGGCAAGGGAATGTGTGGAGGGGGAAGTCGGAGGGGGGGTGCGGGAGAAACGACGCATGAGAGGCTGTGGGGATGGCGGACGGGATATTGCATTCTCCCCTCTTCTCTCCTCGCTCTCCCTTCCCGTTCCCCTCTCCACTCCTGCTTTCTCCGCTCACTCACCCCTATCCGCCCACCCCTCTCTGCCCACTCCTCTGCGCCCAACCCTCTCCGCTCGCTCCTCTCCGCTCACACCCCTCTGCGCCCACCCCTCCGCGCCCACCCCTCTCCCCCACACCCCTCCCCACTAACCGAGCAATTGCTCCTGGAGGAGCAGAAGAGGCCGAGGCAGGGGCGCGAGAGGTTGAGCAGGATCTGCGTGGACGCGTTGAGGCTGGTCGGGGGCACGGCGGTGATCTCCGCTGGTACCAGGCACGACGGGTCTGAAAGAGCAGTACGAGCGGGGTAGGGGCGAGGGTAGGGGTATGGGCAGGGGCGAGAGGGGCGAGGGCAAGGGCGAGGGCAATGGGAGGGGCAATGTCGTGAGAAAATAAAATGGTGGTGATTGCCGCAGGTACCAGGCACGATGGTTCTGGTAGTGCAGTACGAGAGAGTAAAGGGCGAGTGTAGTGGCAAGGGCAGGCGCGAGGGCAGGGGCAAGGCCAAGGGCAAAGGCAAGCGCACGGGCGGGCATTGTGAGCGGATTTGTGAGCGGGCTCACAACGGGGTAAGCTCGGTTGACATCACGATGAATATGCACGATGGGTCTCAGAAAACAATATCAGAAGGGTAGAGAAAAGTGGGGGCTTTCGAGGTGAATCACAGGCAGTGACAACCGCAAGCATCAGACACTAGGGATTGAGGCATCAGGCACATAAAGGCAAGGGAAAGGGGCAGGTGGGAGGGGGTTGTCGGGGGGTGGAGGAGGATGGGGAAGGTGGGGCGGAAGCAAGTACGAACTGCAGAGCATCGCCAGATCAATCAAAATAGAAGGGGCGGGGTTGGGGCGGGGGGCGGGCGGGAGGGCTGGGGCGTGGGGTGAACGTGAGCCATCTTGAACGTGGACGGTTCATCACTTTCAAGATGGCTCACGTTCTCGCATGCGACGTATGCCCGTATGCGACGGAAATGTCTCACCTGCGACGAACGTGTGCGACGCAGTCGAACTGACAGCCGCAGCAGCAGGGGAGGCTGCAGCAGCGGTGCCATTTGCGGAGTTTCCGCGGAGAGACGAGGGCGGCGCAGTGGCGCGCACGCGGAAGGTGTGCTCCCCCGATTCGAGCGCGGAGTATCGCTTGTGGCCCCTGTTACACGTGGTGGCGGGCTTGCCATCGATCTGTGACCACACCCGCGGCGGGAGGGGGGCAGGGGGAAAAGACGGACGGACCGTTTGAGATTAGACGGACGGACAGACGGACAGACGGACGGCCGGAAGGAAGATTGGTGGTGAGTGAACACTAGGGGCTTGGGTTGAGTATCAGTGCAGCCATGTGCACACTCAGAACCAGAGAGAGTGCTGCATATTTGATTCGCGGGGAGCATAGGCGGCTCAGGTTGGAACGCATGGGGGACACAGCCGGACCATGGTGTTGCACAGACTGGGTTTTGCAAGAGCAGGAGGGACGAATCCGTGCACAAAACGCAGCACGAGCGGGAGCAGTCACGGCAACGGCGGCTTCTCGCCGGCCTTCAGGTCGACTCAAAAGTCACCTCCACACACTCACCGAGCACGCGTAGGAGCAGTTACTGCAAGGGCTTCCCGTCGGCAACCAGAACGCCGCGAACCGGAACGACGCGTTGCTGCCCGCGCTGCGCTCCGACGGCGCCGACGTGATATTCACCGCCAGCACCGCTGCCGCTGCTCGCTCCCTCTTCCCGCTCCCAGAGTCTGCTGGTAGCTCCTCGTCTAGGGAGTTTCTTGATGGATCTGTGACTGGCTTTGTCGAATTCAGCTTCGATCGGACACTCGCGGTCCGCGACTCGGCTCCCAACGTCGCCGCGCCACGAGAAGCGGTGAGAGCTCCCGTGCCTTCTTCTGCTGCGGCGATTCTCGAAACCGCGGCAGCGGCGGAGGCGGCGGATGGATTTAACCTCCCGTCCTGGCCGCCCTCAGAGGAAGGATTCGCGGATGCGGGAAGGACGGAGGGGGGCAAGAGACATAGTGCGAGGAGGAGAGGGAGGAGGTGACGGAGCGGCGGGATGGTACCGTGGTGATCACGCCGAGTTGCCGTTTTCTCGGGCAGGTTGAGGTTGCGACGGGTGGGCGGGCATCTGCCCGCAAGCAGATTGCAACGCTGCCGCCGCGTCCTGCTGACGGTTGTCGCTCTGTCCGAAGCCATGGCCTACAGTGACGACTGCTCCGGAAGACTGCAGAATGAGAAAGCGGTGGCAGGTTGAAGATACGTTGACTTGATTTCCTGTGCTTTCTTTGCCGATGGGTGTCTCCTTGGTCGAACGTTGATGTCTTGGCGGGGATGCGAATGTTTGAATGAGGCTCTTTGGAAAGCCGAATCCGCACTCGCAGTCGTTTCTAGCTGCTACTGCTGATGGACGAAGAGTCAGGAGTCGAGTTCAGGTGTCAGAATGGCAGGTATTACAGGTACACGTGGCCAGGGGTCAGGTAGAAGTACAGGTGTCAGGTTTAGGGGTAGAGTACACGTGTTAACTTCAGATGTCAGATTAAGCAGCAGTCAGAAGCCAGTTGGTGAAGAATTGCGAGCGAAGCGCTTTGCACGCCACTTGATCCGTGGCGCCAACTCCTTGGAGAAGTGCGGGTCCGAGAAGGAATAAGGTCGTGCGGAGAACGAGGGACGCGATCAGTGTGAGGGGTCGTTGTGTCTGGCTGAACGAGCGAACGAAGGTACGTTCTCGGCAGTGAATGGCGAAACCAAGATCCAAACTCTAAGCAAAAAAAAACTCAAGGAAGCTAGATGGTCATTGGTGGCTTGTTAATCGCAAGGTCTCAAACATTCGAGAGGAGAATCTGGAGACGTGGCAAATGTGTCTCATAAATCCTTGGAAGTTAATCATTTGTCTCGAACCTTGCAGAAGTGCCGCAGCAATGAAACTTCCCGACACACGGGAAGCCTTGCAGCACCACGACTGCTCCTCGGAATGTGGAATGCCTCAGACTCTTGCTCCTGAGCTGATCCTGGGAAGCCCTTCCAACCACGGTTTCTAAAGGAGAAACACAAGGTGATAAGTTAGTGGGCGGCGAAGGTCTTCCTCCAGTAGTCAACGACGCGGAGTAGGCCCAAGTGAGGCCGTTGAAACAGAAGTGAACGCAGCGCCGAATCAACAGGCTCCTGGTCTATGGCTAAATGTTAAGTTACGGATTGAGGGAAAGAAACAGTGTCTCTTGTCTGTGGAACGAAAACGGAAGGATAAAGACGTAAGGAAGAGAACAGGATATTGAATTTGAGGTGGAGCACTAGCGCAAGGGCCAGGCAATGTGCGACGCACGGGGGGCTTGAGGGGGAACCACGAGATTCACAAATCTTCCACTCTCGAGTCGCTCACTTGCTCGTCAACTTCGAGGCCAATCTGGGAATGCAATTTGAAGATGGCAGGAAGGTTGACCGTGAGTGTTGGGAGGGAGGGCGCTGGTGAAACTTTGGAACTGTGTGAACCTCGAACTTTGCCTGTCCGGATTCGGACGTTATTTTCTCTCCATCCTGCCCTATTTCCTTCCTCTTCTGCCCCTCGGCCAGAAAACTAAAACAAGCGCCAGGCTGTTCACCTTTGATTGGTGCATCAGTAAATTAGCGCCAGAGGCTTGACTGTGTCATCTTCTTCTGTCGCTTGGCCCCTCCCTGCTCGAGGTGTCACAACCCTGCTGTCATTCTTTGTTTGAATCGAATTTCCCGCCATTCTGCACACTTTGAAAATGTCAGGGATCTTTCCCCCATTTCAGGCACTCGAAGACACTATTGGCCCACATCCTGACCCTTCCTGGCAACGTCCCTTCGGTGTAGTATATGTCTCAAACACGTACCATAGTTATCCTATCCTGAAATACTGCACAAGATCACATTCCTATACCTGTAATTGGATCTGAATCAATAGTCAGAAATACTTGCCAGACTATACCCTCGGATGACAAATATTATATAACATATATGTGTTGCCAGTATTGATGTTACGATAGAACAAAGTGATTGTTCAATCTTTCAATGTAAAATTTCTTGATAGCATATTATTACATTAGCTAACATCGTCTTTAGTTGAAGCTATTATTTACACTTGTATGTATCTTATAAATACTTTCCTAGCGCTAGCACAAGTGAGGACAACTCCAGCAGCAGCAACTTCTGACATCAGCATCAGACACATTTGAGCTTCATCTTGTGATGTCACCAATCAATTGACAGTGTGGATCCCGCCATCTGTCAACTGTCACAACAACACTGGCAACCGATTTCCCGCCACATCAGTACTTCTGCCCCTCCCGTCAATTCCATACCGCCATCCAGGCTTGCGCGCATGCCTACCCTCGCAATCGCAAGGGAGGCGCCTGGGTCAGCGCTTCCCCTCACACTTCCATCAGCGCGCATCACACTCCCTTGAGCTGGGAGGGGAGCACAGATCCCAAGGGTCTGCGGCAGGTTGTCTTGCTGCGTTCAGTGATCTCCACCAATCGGCATGCAGCCAACCAGCAGTCTTATCAGAACTCTCCACCAATAGCTAAACAGCATCTCCTATCCCACCACCTGGCCGCGTCCCCAACCAAATGTACATCTGATGCGGCTTTATGCGGTCGGATACGTATTACCACGGTATCTCTGAGATCTAAATCGGCTGAGTAGGGTGGTAGTGGAACGAATGTTTCGGGAATCACAAATCACAATTCACTAGCGCTAGAATTGATGTCTGGTCTCGTGCTCTGCTAATGTGTCCCTCTCCACCACATCTAAGATTGCCGCTAAATGTTAGCCATCGGGGGATCTAGGGCTTGTTTCTCCCGTACATTCTTCTGGAGCATCGCCGCTGGTCCTTCAATGCGCGGTTTTCCGTTTGTCCCAAGGATCACCTTCGCACATTGCAATATAGCTCTTTATTGAATCGCTGGGAGCTTAGACCCCCGGCTGGTCGTTCTAAAATCCCTATCCAGCATTTCCTTTGAGAACGACTCGTGCACCCGTCCGATTTCGTCTTCGGCTTTCACATACCTTGCTGGTTTCAAGTTTCATTGCTGGTCCCTTCGCCAGAGCGACCAGCATACCCTCTTCCAGGCCACATTAGTTTCCAGAGTCAAGCATGGCAGCAGCATCAGCAGCGTCGTCATTAGCCGGTCAAACAGCAGCCGCGATTTCACATTTCACGGCTGCCGACATCTCTTCCTCCTCCTCCCGCCTGTCCCGCTCTTCATCTTCGCGCAGTCATCGGCCCTTGCCGAAACCGAAGCCTTCCCTTCTAACTGTCCGTTACCACAGTCAGTCAATTGTAACATCGCGTTCGCTTCCCTGCTCTCGGTTAAGCCCATGCGCGGCGTTCACGGGAGGCGGAGGAGATGGCGGGGATAACATCGGCGGAGGATGGGGGAAGGGCGGTGGCGGGGGCGGGAGCGGCGGAAATAATGGTGGTGGCGGAGGAAACGAGGGCGGAGATGGAGATTCGGGTCCGAACGACGAATATGGTGGGATTAGAGGCCGCTTGGTGGTGGCTGTTGCAGCCGCTGCAGCAGCAATAACCTTATCGTCGTCAGACGAGCTTCGTGCGCGAGCAAGCAATCCGTTATTCGCCTCAGTCTCTGCCTCCGCTTCCGCCGCCAGCGCAGCGAAACCTTCCGCGACGTCCGCCGAGGCGGAGAACGCGAAGGGGTCGGCGGAGGTCGCCATTTCCCCCTCCTCCGCCGGCTCTTCGCGTCCGTCGAACCCTCGAACCGCCGAGCTTAACGTCGACGATGACGGCTTCGGGGTGACGGACTGGCTGGGCGGCGCTTTGTACGCGTTATTGTCGAAGCACGTGGACCGGCAGATGAAGCGGCGCGTGGAGGCGGAGCGGCAGCAGGTGCTGGCGGAAGCGGCGGACATGGTGGCGGCGGTGCTGGAGGAGAAGAAAGCGCGCGAGAGCGAAGACCCCGTCGCGCACCGCTCTGAGGTAATGTGCAGGGCTGAGGTGCCTGGGACTTAAGACGAGTCGTCTATTTACGTGGGCAGTGTGTTATGATTAAGAGATAAAAACAGGGTGATGGGAAAGGGATGTTAAGGGGCGTGAAGATGGAAACGTGGGAATGGTCAAGAGGGGTTCGCATGGATGGGTAGGTGACGTTTGAGTCGTTAAAAAAACAACTTATATAGACTTGGAAGGGGAGGCTGCGAGTGAGATATCTGGGAGAGTTCATACGGAGGGCCATTGGATGAAAGAGCGCGTGTGCCAACCGCACAGCATGCAGCGTATGTTGCAACGTAACGAGTGGAAGGAAAGGGAACGGCAACGACCACAGCGATGCAGTGCGCGATGCGGGGCCTATTGTTAAGACTGAACTGAACGTATGAACTCAAATGCCCCCCCCCCTCTCCCCCTCATCGCTCGCATTCTTCTCATCCTCTCCTCTCCCTGCCAGGTGGGAGCTCTCCGCAGGTTGCAGCGCGAGGCCTTTCAAGACCTGCTGCGTCTTAAAGACTCCATGCACACGCTTCAGATCGTCACCGGTCTCCGCCACCGCGACCCCCCGCGCGGACCCAACGCGCGCGCACCTCTCTCCGCCAGCAGAATCGGCGCCGCTGGCGGCGCTGCGGGCAGCGCGGGGGCGGGTGCTGGGGGGGTGACCGGCGGGGGAGCGGGGGCGGGGCTGGGGAGAACGAGGCTGGTGGGGGAGGTTTCGGGGGGGGCGGCGGTGGTTCCTGGCGCGGACGGGCCCAGGGGGCACTCCGCGCGCGCAGCGCTGGAAGAGGCGGGAATGCGGTCAGGCCTTCTGGTGAAATTCAAGTTTGAAACGCTGTGCCGCGCAGCGGATCTGCTTATAACGGAGCTGACGGCGGGGTTGGGCGAGGACAGCAGTAGCTTCATGCTGGGAGGGCCGATTAATCTGCACAAGGTGGTGTATAGCGCGGAGGTGGCGGACGGTGTGCGGGTGGTTGCGGCGCCCGTGGGGGCCACGGGCACGGATATTGCCGAGTCCATGAACCCTCTCAAGGTGCGTGCGCGCGTGTGGTGTGGGTGCGGACGGTGTGAGGGGGGTTGCGCACTGGTATTGCCGAGTCAATGAACTCTCTTAAGGTTCGTGCGTGCGTGCTTTGTGGGTGCTGTGTGGGTGCGTGTTTGCGTGACGTGTGGCCCTTACCTTCCTGAACACTCGAGTGCGGTCGTTCCTTTCTAACACGTGAATCCCCACTCCCTTATAAAGTTTTCCATAACTCCTTTTCCTACGCCATTCCTCACAACGCTCAGCCTCCCATTAGCAACCAAACTATCCTCCCATTCTCGGCACTCCCTCTCACCCACCCTCGCCTCCATCCCTATCCATGCAAGCCCAGCCTTCCTCCCTACGTATCTTAAAACAGATCAACACACACCTCCTTCCCTGCACCCTCCCGTCCCAACCCACCCGTTCCCATCCCTCCTCCCAATTTCCCCCAACCCCCTCTCCCCTCCTCCCAATCCCCCGGTCCCATCAGAACCAAGGCCTGACTCGCTTCGCCTCGAACGGCATTCCCCTGCATCAGCGCGCCAAGGGCACGGCTCTCGGCCTCTCCCTAGCCAGCTCCTCCGCCTCTTTCTCTATAGCCCAGTTCCTGCATGGATGGGGAGTCACTCCTGACGCTGCAGAGGGTGGCGATGCTAGCGCTGGCCTCTGCTCGTCTTCTATGGTTCAACTCGCGCTTCAGCCTCAGGATAATGTCCTCCTCTCCTTCTCGGCTCTCCGGCGGGTGTGGCCTGCTCCCCCGCTCCCGTCTGCTCCTGGCCTGCATTGGTCCGAGCTCGGCCCGATGGTGCTCCCGAGGCTGCTGCCGTGGTTCGGCGGGAGGTCCGGGGGCGTGGTTGGGGGGAAGGAGGATCCTACCCGGGCTGCTCCGGCGGGAGTGGATGAGTATTCTGGGAGTGAAGGGAGGGAGCTGTGGCTGCCACCGCCAATGGATCCTACTATTGTTCAATCAGTGGCAGTGGCAGGGGCTGTGAGGCTGAATGCGAGGACGACTATTGCTGCATGGGCACAGGCGGAAGGTGGGGAGTGGGTTCCTGAGGAGGCTCAGAAGCGGTTGCAGTGGTCTCTTTCCCTGCTGCGGCAAGGGAAGGGCGAGGCCGGGGAGGAGGAGGAGGTAGAGGAGGAGAGCGGGGAGGCTGGAGAGGAGGGGGAGAAGCAGGAGGTGCGACGGGGGGGAGCAGCAGCAGCAGCAACAGCAGCGCCGGTGTCAGGAACTGGGAGTGGAGATGCGAGCGGGGAGCCAAAGAAGCAGACAACAAAGAAGAATAAGAAGGCAGGCTGGGGCGTGTGGAAAACGCTAGACAAGGCCGGATACGGCCTGTGCTTGGGGATCATGCAACCAGACGCGGTTACAGCAGCAGCAGGGCCAAGCTCGAGCGGCAGCGGTAGCGGCGGCATGGGAGCGGTAGCAGGCGGAGGAGGAGGGGGTGGGGAGGGGAACGGGGGAATGGGGCATGGAGGGTTGCTACCTGGGCAGCTTCAGGCAGAGGCGTTTGCGAGGGTGACGTGTGGGCAGGGAGTGGTGCTGCAGCCGGGGATAGTCGTTGCGATGAATGAGCACTCAGGGTGCCACCCGGCCCTCATGCTCCGCACCTCGTGGTCTCTCTGAGTGGGCAAGACTGCAGTCAATGCAGCCGGCCCTTTTTACCTTTTGACTTGTTCTCTCTGCCTTTTTTTCGTGACTGGGTGCTTGTGTCCTTGATTGGACTGCTTTTCTTTCCTGTGCTGTGGTTATTGCAGCAAATGCGCACTGTGGATCATGTGTGTGTGTGAGGGAGAAGGAGAGTGTGTGTTTCTGTGTGTGAAAGGGTTTGGTTTATTCCGTAAGTTAGGGAGAAGCTATATGAATGAGATGCTGAGTAGTGTGTAGGGGTTCATACGGTAGGAGTGCACAGGGGTGAGGGAGGGAGGAAGATGAGGGTTGGGAGAGGGAATGGAGAGGAGACTTCAGGGTGCTGTCACTAAATAGCAGGAGCAGGAAGGCTGCTCCTAGTTTGAAGGATCTGGTTTCAGAGACTGGTTTTCCCTGTGGCTCTCTATAGGGGTATTATTTACAGTAATATAATAGGACTTCTTGGTGAGGGTTCAGTATTTAAAACTACGGACATCCGGCACTCCTGTGTGGTGCAACACTGATTGCCTTTTGTGAAGTGTAATATGCTCTTCTACACTGACTGACAGGCAGAACCCCTGTCTCACATTCACGGCTAAACAAACAAGGTGCTAGGAGCGGTGACGAGGGGTGAGAGAGCAACTACATAAGGGGGTGTCCAGCTCGTTCATTTACTGTTCGTAAAGCCCTTCAGTTACCACAATTTGCGTTGTAACACTGAGTTTTTCAAAAATGCCAGACACGATCAGCTCCCGTTCACGATACGGCACACCCCCTGCACGTACCTCGAATCGTGTGACGCACGTTACAGGAATCAGCGTGCGCATCGAACAATGGTACAGAACCGCGTCCTGCCCACTACAGTGAGTGCCCATCGTATCGCGAGCTTGATTTCGCATGTGCCGCCTGACACTCGCCAAAACCTATAGTGGAAGTGTTGGCCTGGCGAAAATTCTAACGCTTTGGTTGACGAGGGAACTGGTTACCTTGGTTGCCACACGGCCCCTGCACTGTTGAAGTCTGTGTGGGGGGATGGTGTCCGCGCGCCAGAATGACAGAAAGGGTGGACTCGAGCAAGGCACGTTCGTTTATAGGTACAGTGTTCAGTTTTGAACCCCGGATCGTGAGGAGGTACTAGATTTCCCGAAATGAACGAGCTGGACACGCCCTAATCTTATGAAGGCCGTGAGTCGAGTCATGTCCAGACATACCGTAGTACACACGAGGGTTTAGTGTGTCAGTCAGTTCATGTTCAACCGAGAAGGGAACGCAGCAGAGCACAGCAGAGCAGAGCACCATGCAATACACATGCTGCTGTGCTGCTGCTGCATTGTACGGCATAAGTGCCACTCTGCTGAGTATCTGCAAGCTATTGACACACTCATTACTGGTACAAGCGTTTCCCCCCTCAAAACACCCAACCAACCTAGCCCAACCTAACCAAACCCAACCTGACCCAACCCAACCCAACCCACCACTAATGGTCCGACTGCCAATCAGCCCATCCATTCCTAGACCTCCTCTTCCCCAAATTTTCCAGTGCCATACATCGGCTGCAATCCAACCCTCACCCCACCGTTTTGCCACTTTCATCTACTCCCCCTTCCTTGTTCGCCTCCGTTCCTTCCTTCTTCACTACTCTTCTGCTCCTCGCAAATCTTTTCCCCTCGTCTGCGCTCCTCCTCACCCCTCTCGCACCTCATCCTTGCTCCTCACCCCTCTTGCCCCTAACCCTCCTTGCTCCTCACCCCTCTCGCCTCCGCATCATTCTTTTTTTTTGGACCCATTTAACCAAGCCTGGCCTCCCCATTTAGCTAAGCTCTAAGCTTCCACCCACTCCTCATCTCCCCCAACTTTGCACCTCCACCACCACTAACAGCTTCCTTCCCACGATTATCTTCCTTCCCACTGTCATCTCCCTTCCCCATCACTTCCCTCCCCGACCCGTCCCTTCCTTCCCACTCTACCATTCTTCGCCTCTCCCTCCCCTCGCTTCTCCCTCTCTCCCCTCCCTTCTCCCCCCGTCCCCTCACCCCCCTGTGTTCCATCCCATGCTTCTTCCAGCAGCAATGCCGACACGCCTTCTGCTCTGCTTATCTTGCTCTTTCCTCTCAATCCACTGCTGCTCCCACGACTGCTACCAGCAGCACTGCCACTCCCACTCCCACTCCCACTCCCACCACCACTGCCTATCCCTCCAGACAGCCTTCTAGTCAGCTTCTTTACTACTTTTCCTTCCTTCCCTCTTCCCTCCTCCTCTCCTCCCGCCCCCCCACTTCCATGTGCGGGCGGGGGAGTAGAAGCGGGGTTAAGTGAATTGCTATGGCTGTGCGGGGGCGGGAGAGGCGCGTCACACGCTGCTGCAAGAGCGGCACGAGAAGCAGACGGGGTCTTTCGAAGACGGGGCTTCGAAGGTGTTCCCGTTCCTCCTCCTCCTCCTGCTCCTCCTCCACTCACTCCTCCTGCTCCTTCTAGCCCTGCTACGCTCGATCCTGAATCACTGCCATACCCACTCCCACCCAAGGCTCCACTCAAGTCGATGCTACTGCCACTACCCAACGACCCTTTACCTCTCCTCAGTTTCCTCACTGGCTTATCCTTACCACCAGCACCACCAGCACCAGCGCCACCAGCACCAGCACCACCAGACCCTTCATCTGCGCTTGACCAGTCACTAGCCCCGCCGATAGACCCCTGTTTCTTCCTCACCTTCCCACTACCCGTTCGCTGCACTCTCGCAGGCTTACCCTCCCTGCTCTCCCCATCTGCAGCGCTCTCATTCCCGGCCCCATCTGCTACAGCAGCAGCACCAGCAGCAGTAGAAGGTGAAGCAAGAGCATCGGCAAAGTTTCCACTACCTAGGGAGGACCGTCGTACTATCCTCTTCTTTACACCCCCAGCTGCACCCGCAGGGGGGAGCGATGACACCCCCTCTGCTACTCCACTTGCTGCTGCTCCTGCCGCTGCCCCTGCTCCTGTTGCTACACTAGCACCAGCAGCAGCAGCACCCGTCCCATCCCCCTGCCCACCTAAAGAAGGTTGTCGATTGACCTTGCCGGCCTTCCCTTTCCCCCCTCGCTTCAGTGCCGACTCTCCTGCTGCTGCCTCTCTGCTTCCCTCCCCTTCTGTGACCCCCTCTGCTCCTCCTCCTGCTTCCACTGCATCAGCTGCTGCATCTGCTGCACCTCCTCCCTGCCCTTCCAAAGGGCTGCTGGCAGCACTGCTGCTGCTGCTGCTATTGCTAGAGACACCAGCAATCAAATGGGAGATCTGCCCGCTCCCGCCGCTGCTGCTGCTGTCCCCACCTTTCGACCTCCGCAAGCGTCTCACGGGTGCTGCTACTGCCTCCCCTGCCGCTGCTCCTCCTGCTGCTGGTCCTAGTCCGAGCTTCCTACCTCTGCCTTCTCCCCCTCTATCTTCCCCTCCTCTCTCCTCCCCATTGACAGCAGAAGGAGAGTTCTCAAACCCACCTCCCAGATCCCCCCTTTCCTCCCCTCCCCACTCTCCCCCACTCCCTCCCAGTCTCATCTCCCTTAGCTGAGCTTCCGCCTCTGCCACTGTCCCTCCGCTACGAGCCAAACCATGCCGGCCGCGAGAGGAAAGCCCTGCTGCCGAACCTGCTGCTTTGGCTCGGGGTAACCTAGGGGGGCTATGCCCTGTACTGTTGCTCATAGGGAAACCCATCGCTGCTGCTGCTCCTGCTGCTGACAACTTTTTGGGAGGGGAGCGGGAAGGGGAGGAGCGGGAGGGGGACGAGCGGGAGGGTGAGGAGGAGGATGGGGAGGAGGAGGCAGATGGGGGGTTCGAGGAGTGTTTGGATTGAGCGGAATTTTCAGACACAGATCGACCGAAGTGTTGGCTTGATTGATGGTGGTGGTGGTGGTGGTGGTGATGCTGCTGCTGGTGGTGCTGCTGGTGGTGTGTTGGTGGTGATCTCGAGTGTGGTTGGAAAGACGAAGGCGAGAGGGGGGGTAACCCTGAGGGGTGTATGTGCTGGTGTGTATAATCTTCTGTTGCTCCTGCTCCTTCTTGTGATGCCCCTGCTCCTTCTCCTGCTGCTGAAGCAGCATTGTCGAACCTTTCTAAACCGGCACTGCCGCTTTCTGTTCTCTCATTCACCTCCCCTGCCTCCCCACTCCCTTCTCCTTCTCTCTCTCCTTGCCCTGACACCCCCTCCCTACCCTCCTCCTCTCGCCTTTCACCCACCCCCACCGTTCCTCCATTTGTTCTCAACTCACCCCCATCCCTCCCACCAGCAACCCCATCTCTCGCCTCCTCCTCCTCTTCATTCTCCTCCTCCTCCTCCTCCTCCTCCTCCTTCCGCCCATCATCTTCCTCCTCGTCCTCTTCATCCTCCACCGCCCCTTTCTTCCAAACAGCGCGCCCCAACATACCAGAAACGCTGCCTTTCCCCATCCCTTTCCCCTTTTCTTTCCCCTTTTCTTTCCCCTTCCCTTTCCTTTTTCCCTCCCCACCCCTGATCCCCTCCGAATAAGACTGGCCTGACCGGCCATTCTCACCAGAATCATCAGCTAACGCCTTGACCAACTCCCCCTCTACCATCTGCTCCTCCCCTTCCGCCTTCCCCTCCTCTTCCCCTTCCTCCTCTAGCAATATCCCTTCGCCTCCATCCTCCTCCTCTGCTTCAGAGAAATCATCATCTTCATCATTATCATCACCATTATCAACATCACCATCACCATCACCCTCCACATCCCCTCTCATCCCTCCTTCTGTCGACTGACTTTCCTTCTCTGAAATTTCTTCCCCTTCCCCTTCTTCTTCCTCTTCCCCTTCCCCATCCACCTCCCCTTCCACTTCCGCTCCCTCCTCTCCCTCTCCCTCCTCCCCCTCCTCCCCCTCCTCCCCTTCCTCCCCCTCCTCCCCTTCCTCCTCCCCATCATCCTCGTCCTCATCCTCCTCCTCCTCTGTGCGTCCCTTCAGGTTCCGGATCACTTTCACTCGCACCACTTGGTTAAAACGAACGCTTCTCTTTGGTCTCGCCTCGCCTCCTTCCCCCTCCGCCCCTTCCCCATTCCCCCCTGCCGGCTTTCTTCTCAGGGAGCTCTTTCGCTTCAACTCCACTCCCCCCGCCCCCCCTGCTCCCCCCATCCCCCCGGTTCCCCCCATCCCCCCCATTCCCCCGCCCACTGCGGGGCCCCCATTTCCCCCACCAAATTCCCCACCATACTCTTCCCCTTGCTCCCACCCCATATCCTCCCCTTCCTCCCCTTCCTCCCCTTCCAACCCCTCCCCTTCCATCCCCATCCCCATCCCCATCCCCATCCCCATCCCCATCCCCATCCCCATCCCCATCCCCATCCCCATCCCCATCCCCATCCCCATGCCCATGCCCATGCCTGAATGCTCTGTATCCCCATAGGGCCCTTCCATTTCCATTCTCCCCCCAGCGGTGTTCGACCGAGTGATTGCCCCAGGCCTCATCATTCCCCCCCGCCCCAACCCCCTTCCCCCTCCCCCTGCCCCCTCCCCAAACTCCCCTTCCCCATCTCCGCCCCCCCCATCCCCCCTCAGCCCTGCCGCCCCAGTGGTATTGCTCCGCCTCATCATGCCATTGCCCCGCCCCCTCCCCACTCCCCCTTGCATTCCCCCCTGGTTGTTCCATCCCCTCCCCCTCCCCTCCATCCCCTGTGCGCCCATGCCCCGCCCATACGCTCTCCCTCTTCCCCCCATGGCCTTCCCCCCGCCTCTGCCCATCCCCCTCCCCATCCCCATTCCCCCATACTCCCCCCCTTCATACTCATACCCCTGCTGCTGCTGCTGCTGCTGCTGTGGTGTTTGCATCCCCCCCATATGCCCCATCCCCCTTCCTCTCCCCATCCCCCCCATTCCCCCCATTCCACCATATCCGCCCCCCATCCCCCCCCCTGCGCCCATCTGTCCGCCATAGTCCCCCTCCCCATACCCATATCCGCCTTCCCACCCCCCCATCTCCTCCCCATACGCATCTCCCCCCATCTCCCCCCCATACTGTCCCCCATACCCCCCTTGCTCTGCATACTCTCCCCCATACCCCCCCTGCTGATCCATATACCCCCCTTGCTCCCCGTATTGCCCCCCATACTCCCCGTATTCCCCCATTCCCCCGCTTCCTCCCCCATACCCTCTCCCCCAACTCCCCCCTGCGCCCATCCCCCTCCCCATTCCCCCGTATTGCTGCATGTACTGTTGCTGCTGTTGCATACCCATGCCCATATGCATCCCACCCCCATGCATTCCCCCTCCATGCATTCCCCCCGCATGAATGTTCCCCCCATGCGCATTCCCCCCGTGCATCCCCCCCCCATGCATCATCATCTGCTGTTGCTGCCAGTTTCCCCCCATCCCTCCCCCTCCCCCTCCCCCCCGCCCATATGCTCCCGGACTAGGCAACACAAACCCTCCCCCTCCGCCTCCCCCTCCCCCCGCGCCCTGCCCGCGCCCATACGGGCTAAACGGCGCTCCCCCAGCCGCCCCCGCCCCGCCATACCCCATGGGGGAGATGGGGGGCGCGGGGAGGGGCGCGTGGGGGAGGTTGGGCGCGTGGGGGAGGGTCTGGGGTGAGAGGAACTTGGCCTGCCAGGCGGAATGCGCCTCAGACACGAATTCCGCGGCTGTTTTGGTGTCCACCACTCGCTCTATGCTGCTCGCTGCTGGGGGTAGGGGCGTGCCTGGGGGGAAGGGGAAAGGGAGGGAGGGGGGGAGGGAGGGGGGAGAGAAGGGGAGAGAGAATGGGGAGTCTGTTTGTGGCTTGGCGCGTTAAATGGGGGTCTGAAGGTAAGGGAATGCGCCCCTGAGACGAATTCCGCGGCTGTTTTGGTGTCCACCACTCGCTCTATGCTGCTCGCTGCCGGGGGCAGGGGCGTGCCTGGGGGAAGGGGGAAGGGGAGGGGGAGGAGGGGAAAATGGTGAGAGGGGATGGGCGATGGGGGAAACCGGAGGAAATGTGTGGAATGTGGGGAAGGAGCAAGAACGTGGGGGGGGGGGGGGGGGGGGGGAAACAGTGAGTGCAAGGAATGTGTACTGTGCGTGAGAAAGCATGCACTCAGTCGGGAGGTATGCGGCATGGAATAACGACGGGCCGAAGCAGCAGCAGCAGCAGCAGCAGCAGCAGCAGCAGCAGCAGCAGCAGCAGCAGCAGCAGCAGCACTGGTTTCAGGGAGGAGGATGGGTAACCAAAGCACATGGAACCCACATCGCACCACACCGCACCTCACAGCACCGAACTGCACCTCACCACACCGCACTGTACCGCACCGCACCTGGCTGGTGGTGGTAAAACGCCTCCAACCACTCGCGAATCCCCGCAAGCGTCTCCTCCAGAGTCTCCAAGCTCGCCTTGCTCATATAATCACACACCTCCGCAGCCTCGGGATCATCCGCCGCTACAGTCACCAGCGTCCACACCCACTGCCCCGGCCCCACGGCCACACAAATCGCCACCAGCGGACACACCTCATACACCTCCCCGGTCCAGGACGGGTTGGTGCCTATTTCTACCACTTGCACTGGCTGCCCGCCTAGGTTTGCCGCGGTTACTCCCGTCCCGTCCCCTATCCCGCCGGTAGCACCGGCAGCAGCGGCGGCAGCGGCGGCGGCGGCGGCAGCGGCGGAAGCGCCGGGTTTGAGCACCCAGGTCTGGGGCAGAAGGCCGCAGTTGCAGGGTGCGGGGACTTCAAACGGCTTGGCGAGACGCCCCGCCGCGGAAGGCTTCTGCTGCAGCATTGCCGCTACGGTGGACGTGCGGGGGAGGACTCTTTTCAGGCGCAGCGGCGTGTTGGGTTCTGAGCACGCGAGATCAAATCCCACGACGGAGTCTCGGGGTGTTTGGCAGATGAAGTGGAGGAGCGAGGCCGGGGAGAAGAGCGGGAGGTCATGCCATGGGGAGACGATGTGCCCGTCTGGTGTGGAGAACATGATTCGGTAGCTCGTGGTGCCGGGTACGCCGCATTCCATGGTTTGCCATGCCTCCTGCTGCTGCTCCCCCTCCTGCTCCTCCTGCTCCCCCTGCTGGTACTGCTGCTGCTGCTGCTGTGGAGAATACTGCTGCTGCGGATACTGCTGGTGAGGCTGCTGCTGCTGCTGCTGCTGCTGCTGCTGCTGCTGCTGGTACTGCTGGTGCTGGTGATGCGTGTTTTCCTCCGCTTCCATTCCCTCGTTGCCCACGTGGCACTGTCCCTTGTGGTTGCTGGTGCTGCTACTGCTGCTGTAACCGCCGTGTCCCGCGCTGCTGCTGTTGCTACTGTTACTGCTGCTCCAGGTCACACTAACCGGGCTTGCACTGGACGTACTGTAACTGCTGCAAATGCTGTTACAGTTACCGTTACAGTTACAGTTGCTGTTGCTGTTGCTGCTGCCGCGGCTGATCCAACTGCTGTTACTCGCCGGACTGCTGAAACCGCTCTTCTGCAGCAACGAAGAGCTGCGAAATGCGGAGTTAGGGTTACCAGCGTTGCTGTAGCTAGCAGGGTTACTTGGGTTACTGCGGTTACTAACGTCACACGGATTTCCAGAACTATTAGGGTTACCACCACTAACAGCGCTTCCGCAGTCACTATGTCTGTTAGCAATCCTACTATTTAACTTGTGGGGAGGACTCGTGTTAAACTGCTGCGCGCCAATCGCGCCAGTCGGGCAAATCGCGACCCCCGCTCCGCCTGAGCTCGTGAAACTATCCCCCTCGTCGGCGCGAATCTGCGCAGATGTTTCCGCTACTCCCGCTTCTTCTGCCTCTTCCGCTTCTTCCGCCAAGGCTACCGCGCCTTGATACTGGCCGGTCCGCGGAGCACCGGCACCGCTACTTCCGACAACACCCCCGGCCGCCCCGCCCCCCGCTTCACGCGCGGAAGCGTCGGCGGACGCTTTGGCGGAAGCTTTGGCGGAAGCGTTAGCGGAAGAGTTGGCGGAAGCTTTGGCGGAAGCGGAGGGCGCGCAGCGCGGCTGGGTTGCTGCTGCTAGCGGCTTGGCTCGGGCGGCGGCTGGGCGCACCCCCATGGAAGGGCCCCGAGCGTACTAGTTCCGAGGCGCCTCGCTACGGGCGCCGAACGCGCTAGCGCACTGTGCGGTTTTCGCGCGACTGGTCGCCGCTACTGCTGCAGCTGCAGCTGCTGCTGCTGTCATAGTTTCGCGGCGCCTCAAAAGCAGGTGCTGTGGCGGTTACTCGTTGCTGTTTCTGCTGCTGATTATTGTGATGGTGATGATGATGGTGCTGCTGTCGCAATGGCACGAAGCGCATTTCCCAGCGCGATTTAGTCCCGCTAGAGAGTATTTCCGAGACGAGGCGTTTCTCAGTGCCGATTCCCCTGGAAGAGCGAGGTAGGTTGAGGAAGAGAAAGAATTAATAATCTCCTCCGCAGGAAGGTTGAGGATGGTTCAGCAGCTACGGCGCATGGACAAGAGGTGAGTTTTGAGTCGACTTGAAAGTCACTACTATGGCATGGACGTCGGGCCGGCGATCTCGAGGCTCGCTCGCAGCTGCGGGGCGCGCGAGAGACGTTTCGTGATGATCAGTCGACAAGCATGTCGTGGCGCGAGAGGCGTTTGAGACGGCTTCAATCCACTACACCCACCTAATCTGCTGTGGTCCTCCTCCTGTAGTCCCGTGCTCCTGCCCTCCTAAGCTACGCTGCTGTTGCTGCTGCTGTTGCTGCTGCTAATGAGGCGTACTCCGTGCTGTGCTGCTTCTGTTGTTGCTGCTGTGTGTGTGAGTGATACGTACTCAACTGTGTGGTTGCGGGGGGGAAGGGCGGAAAAAGTTGGTTCGGTTCGGTTATATGTTTTCGTCGTGGCGTGCGGGTGCTGCTCTTCTCTGCTGCTGCTGGTGCGCTTGCTGGGCGGCAAGCCCTGCTTTGTTCAGTAAAGCGGACAGGAGGGAGGGAGGGAGACCTTCAGGTTGTTTGTCACACGGCGATTATGACAGAGCTCAGGCTGGGTCACAAGAGATCATGGTTGACTGCAGTTTTGTGCTTTTATAAGCGGTTGTTTACACTTTTTTTTTATGCGCTGTACATTTGTGTTAAGGATAGCCATTGTTAAAACCAGAATATAAAATAATGAACCCTGTCCCAACTTGAAATGGTGCTCCAGAGAACTGGAGGGCGAAGGTGAAGTGTTCGGGGCATAGCTGAAGGGCGGGCATGTAGGGGATGGGGAAGAGCCAGTCTCCTGCCCCATAGCCCGTGAGGGAGATTAGGCGCTGCGTATGGCCTGCCAGGGGGTTCAGCTCCATTTGTCTAGATGCAGTGATCTGCGCGACACTACGGCCCCTTGGTCTATCAGTGCGAGGCGGTGTTGTAGCTGGCCTGCGGGTTTGGCTAGTTCGGAAGTGATCAGGTCCCTTGCTTCCTGTGTTAGGATGTCTCTGCAGTCATTGATCCATCTCTGCAGCTCGTTGGGGTTCGGATCTGCTGCTTCGGGGCTGTTTAGTGCTGCTGTCAGGTAGGCCCCTGCTGGGCCCGGGAGGGGACGGAGGAGGGAGTGGGCCTGTACGAGGCTGGCCAGGAAGCTGTACCGCCCCTCAACCACGGGGTCAGCGATGTGAGAGTACGACGGCTTTGCTATGATTTCCTAGCTTGATTCTGCTTTATTCTGCATTATCTAGCTTAGCTTTATTTTGTTTTGCTTGTTTTTGCTAGATTTCCTAGGCTCGTTGCTATTACTATATTATTATAGTTATAGGCACCGAACTAGGTTTAGTGCACCGAATTCTAGGCTTTTCGGTTGCCACCGAATTGCCTTCTACCGAATTCGGGAAGGACCCGTTCGGGACGCTTCGCGACCCGCGGAAACTTCTAGTAACACCAGGGTTACTGCCTTTGTGGCGAGCCTATATATAGCCTCGCCTTGTACCCAGGTGAATCATTCAATAGAATTATCTTTCCTGAACCAGATCTTCACACTTGGTATTAGAGCCTGTTTACACGCTAGGCCTTCAACCGTTTAGCCAGTCAGAATTGTACACATGGTCAAAATGTTCTCCGTTCACAATGGCGTTGTTCTGCAGGCGTTTAGGGTTCCGCACCAATTTGACCGCGGTAGCCTTCCGTGCATTTTCTAGGCGCATTCATGCTGGTTGCGTTGCGCGGATGTTGCTGCCTCGCATAACATATGCGGAGGCTGATGCTAGCTCCCGAGGTAGAATTAGCACCGCACTAGTTGTGCGGCCATTTGCCCGGCGAAGCAACAACTTCGAGCCTGCAGACGGTTAAATTCGTGCGCCCCAAAAGTGGCGTTCTGCAGGCTGATGCGTTAAATTTGGCGCAAACAGGTTCGGCAGGACCTTTTTTATCACCAAACCTTGATAGGCAGAAAACCACTTATCAACGAAGTATCTGTGGACCCAGTTTTTGGAATTTTAACGCCTACAGAACAGCGCCAATGAGACTCGTATGGAGTGGAAAAATAAAAAGCACAGCACTTCCAACTTTCCGAAGTGTTCCAAAAAAAACTCTGTTTTCAAGTGGACCCAACTAGAAGGGGGGGGGGTCACTATTTTAGCTGCTGGCTTTAAGGGGTACTTTACAGTTCAAGGGTATTTTACCCTAAACAGTCCCCCAACCTCATCCCAACCTTATCTTCATCCAACTCATCCAAGATTTCCTAGTGCCACGTGGCACTCTAGCTTTCTTGCCTTCTACTTTTTAGTCTCACGAAGTACTTTCCAACAATCGCTCTTGCATGCTACTTAAACCTTGCTTGTATTCCTTCATATGAACCAATTCTCATTCAACTCTTCAATTACCCAGTAACATCTTCGCCTATTTCGCCAATAGTTGTTTCGCCAAAGTCTTCCCCCGTGTTTTCATCCTTGGCCTGGTCGATCCCGCTAATATTTAGCGGATCTAGGCCAAGGGGCCTAACACTTGGTATCAGAGCCTTCACGGGGAGCGACTTCCAACGAGCGACCGTCGACGACGAGACTACGACGTCATCGTCCCGCGGTGCCGACTTGTAGACTTGGAGTCGTCGAGCCGACATGGATGAAACCATGAACGGGCAACACGCTTACTCAACTAATGCGCCAACTCGAAACGTTGACGCTGGAAAATCGTTAGGTACGGGCTGAAATGCAACAGCTTCGTGAATTCGCGTCAATTTCCCATGGTCATGCCACACCATCTCCTGCACCCAACATGTCGACTGGTGCGGAAGCGCCGCCGGAACGTCGAAGCGCGCTCAAGCCGCAGAAATCCGAGCCGTTCGACCCAAGCCAGCGACGCGAAAGCGGACATGGATCTTCATGCTCAACAAATACTTCGCCGCGAGCACGGTGCAAGAGGCGGACGCGCAGCAGCGGACGCGCAGCAGCGGATCGAATACTCCGTTACGCTGCTGAGGGGCCCGACCTTGGAGTGGTGGCGCCAACTCACGCAAAATGTTGTAAGAAGGGCTCATTTGGACGGGCATCAACAGGGCGAGAGGCATGCAGCTGCAACTTCGAGCTTAGGGGGTTTAGCTTTGGGTGTTACCACGGTTCCGACGACATGGGAAGGATTTGAAGCGGCGCTGAAGAGTAGGTTCGACTTGGTGAACGCCTCCGAAGCTGCTAGGAAGCGTCCGCGTCATTTCCGACAGATAGGAAATGTCCAGGAGTACACACGATGGTTCTTGAGCATCTGCAACGAAATAGATGATATCACGGAAGCAGAGATGCGCGATCGCTACCTCGAGGGGTTGAAGCCGGACATAGCGGAGATCATAGCGATTCACGGATTGTCCACCTTCGAGTCGGTAGTCACAGCAGCAGAACGCGTCGACACAGTATGAAGCCGACGAGGTCGTGACGATCGCGATAGGGGATACAACAGACCGATCAACGATGCTCGATCGAGGGACGGACCATCGCCCATAGAGATTGGTGCGGTTGACACTGACGGCTCACAGAAAACGAGATTTAGGGGAAACTGTCATTACTGCAAAAAGCTGGGACACATGAAGCGGGACTGCCCACAGCTTAAGGAGCGGCAGCAGGGAAACGGAAACCGCCAGTAGATAGCGGGTCGCTAGCTGGTGTGGAGGCTTCTGTACCCACCAAGTTTACCGACGTAGAGGAGATAGCTCTGGAGCAGTCATCTACGCCGAACTCGGTAGACGCTGTTGATCGTCCGGTCGTACTTCTAGGGAAGCTTCGTGGAGTTTATGTTAAGATTCACGTAGATAGCGGAGCTAGCCACTCGTTCGTCACTTCTTCATTAGTTAGTCGTCTCCATCTCGAAGCAGATTCAGCAGTCAACTTCAAGGACGCTCGTATGGTAGATGGGACGCCACTTTACATAAGACCAGTCATTTGCAAGTTGCGCGTAGTGCTAGGACCAATCACGGTTAGGCGTGATTTCGACTCTGCGACGCTGGACGATTACAACTTCATTTTCAGTAAAGATTGGTTGCGGACGGTGAGTTCCGGGAGCTGCCACAGTGGAGCGATGGGCCCACATCATCCACAGCTATCATTAATGCTGTTCATGTGCGAAAGTTAGTCAAGCGTGCGGCACGGATCTTTGCCGTTTTCCTTGAGGAGGTGGAAGTTGAGGAGGGGAAAGGAGGGAGCGCAGTAGTTGGCGATAAGACAACTCTTCCTGCTAAAGTGGGTGCACTGTTAGCGGAGTTTAGAGACGTCTTCCCCGACGAGTTGCCCCCAGGGTTACTGTGAAGAAATGAGGAATGAATGAACTAGCAAGCAGGTGGGTACAAGTAGGAAAACCTAGAAATGTTGTACCCCATATAGTCTACCCCACTACAACCTACACAGACTATAGCATATAAGTTTAACACACCCCCATAGGCAAAGTGGGGGAGAACAAGAGGTCACAAGACCAGTCAAGCAAAGCAAAGCAAGCTCAGGGTGGATCACAACGTCACCACACAATCCGAGCACAAGAGCAAGGCCAAAAGGCCAGTTCACATGCAAGATCATATATAAAGGTAAACATGCAAGTGCAGGTATAGAAAGATCACAGTACAAGCAAGGTCAAGAAGTGAGCAAGTGAGGCCAAGTA